CTCGCGTGCCTCTCTCTGCACCGACCATTCCGGAACTTCTGGATATCTCTGTTCCAGGTAGTCGATGACAGACGAGGTGCTCTCATCGGGAATGGTGACAATCACCCGTTTCTTGTCGGGTTCCTTCGCACCCTCCAGCACTTCTTTCGGACGCACGCGAATCACTCGAATCGAAGAGGACGACGATCCTGATGTCGAGGAGCTTTCCTCCGCACTCTCTCCCTTAGAAATATTCCAATTCTTTAGCGCTTTAAAATTATCCATTCTGCAAACAATAAAAACCGAGTATTAAATATTGTAGAACGAACGTTAAATTAAGAGAATATTAAAAAATCATAATGTAAATACGACAGAAAGTTTTAGAAAATGACCGTTTTAAGTATAAGAAAAATTCTAAACAAAAATCAATATAAAAGTTGTAATGGAATATTCGTTGTGGGAAAATTATCGCTGCTAATTGTGATTTAGTACCTAGCAATGTTAAAAAATATCTAAATCTAGAACGATCAGGGACTAAACTTACTTAAAATACTCGCAAAAACTACAGCAAAACTCAGAAAATACTCGAAACAATCGCATTCGAACAAAGCAACAGACAATTGTCGAAATTCTATTGTTGCGTCGTGACTCAGTTTAATGCTAAAAATTCCGATTCATTTGACAAAATTTCGATTTCGGGGGGTTTCCGAGTTTGTCTTTCTGAGGAAAGGGACCATTCTGCTTTTTGTCTGTAGTCTTTCACTCATGCCCACAGAGACGAGGTGTAATCCATTTTGTTAGAGTTAGGATGTTCGAAGACGCTCATAAACTAAGTCGATTCGACTTAAATTGAGCAATGGTAGAATCTTCTGCAACTGTTGTTTCTATATTGATGTTAGGCTGCAATTTGAACCCATTGTAGATCTATAAATCCCACTGCAGTCCGCCTGTCTGGCCTTCCTTAACAATTACAAATCGTTAACAATTCCATTGGATTTGGGCTTAACGAAATTTAACAATAAAAAGGGCGAAAAGTATCTTTCAAAATAAGTGGAAAGACCCCGTTCGTCGTCTCTATGACCAAAACCATCAATTCTTATCTAAATGGAGCTTTGTCGGAAAATCATTGCCACTAATTGTGATGTTGGGCTTAATAATGTTCAAAAATATATAAATTTAGAAAGTTTGTGGTTTGAACTTACTGATAAAACTCGCTGCAAATGATGCAAAACTCAAAAAAGTCTTGAAATAAATCAGTTTTGAACACACGAACAGAAAATCCAACCGCTCGCAACAACAACAATCGACCGCTCGCAACAAATTGTTAGAGTTTTATTGTTGCTTCGCCACGAATTTTAATGTAAAACGTTTGGATTTTCACCGAATTTCGTGATTTTTGCTCCTCCCTGTCGCCGAGAAGACGGATTTTTGCGGATCATTCTCATTCCTTGCATATACAATCAAGTTAACAGTAATATGAATTGAAAATCTAATACTACGAAACGATGACATCATTTATGTTTATATCAAAATATGTTTTAAATTAACACCATATTACTGAATGCCGTTTAGTAAAATCGTTATAAAAACTTTTAATTGGCAGAAATTTGAGTTCTTGTAATTTTGAGTGAAATTTTGAATAAAATTCATTTATTTCCATGCAATTTTATTCTTGTAAGCATAAAATTAAGCCGTAAAACTGAATTAGCATAATGGGGAAACTTCCGTGAACTTTGACTTATCGATTCGGAAGTTCTGCCAGTACCTCGCTGATAACGAGAAAGGTTTAACTTCAAAATTTGGGCTATTTAGACCCAGTAGTTTTTCTCTATGGGCGTCTGCATTACCGGATGAAGAAAAATAAGAAGAAAATATAGCGTTTTTGGAGATTTTTGCAATCTTCAATTGCTCATATTTCGGCAATCGCTTTATACAGAATCTTGAAATTTTGCATACTACCTAAGAAAACAATCTTCCTTCGAATGAGACGAGATCGAAAGAGATTCGAAAGAGCGGAGAAATCGAAATCCGAAAGTCGTCCACTGATTCCTCTATATGTAGACAGTCAGTGACTTTTCTACTTTCCGGGGAGCGATTACCGTCACTTCTGATATAAAGCACTAGATTTTTACATCAAATTTCATCTGTTATTATTAAATACAGAACTATCTCAATATATATCATAGTTAAGTTCCTAAAATGCGTTGTGAACAAAATGGTGTAATCGAATATCAATTTCTCACCGAGATAATATATTATTTGAGAGATAAAGTACATTCCAGACCAACTAATAACAATTTATGTGGAAGTGTCTAGTGTACTGTTTATATGGAATGGTCGCTACTTTAAAGTTATACTTTCAAGACCTAGTATAACAAGGTGACTGCCGGATGTTTCAGCGGTTAATTAATTTGGAAAAATACGGACGAATTGCCGGTTGCGGCCAAAGCATTGTATGTGTCTTTGACACAAGAAGCGATCCAAGTTAATTTTTCGAAAAAGAAGAATTATTTCTGAGAGACCTTAAAAAGTTCAAGCATAAATTAGCAATGCTGTCAATGTTGTTTATAATTATTTAATTGGTTCTCTTATAATTATTCTGTAAACTGCAGAGAAAGTATTGTAAAAGCTAAAGTTTATTTCCTGGTTTGAATTTTTCGTTTCTGATCATGCAGTGACCAATGTCGCTACTAATAGCATTTAATAACATATTGTGCTAATTGATTTATTGTAGCCTGTATATCTTCAATGTCAACAATGTTTCTTTTAGATACGAATTGTTTAATTACAAATTATTAGAACGAATTATTTAATTACAGTCAAACCTCAGGTTTCGAACTTAATTCGTTCCTAAAAGTTGTTCGAAAACCGAAACAAATTTTCCCTTAAATGTAGTTTGCTTTCGGGTGAATTTCATGAAGAAGTATTGTTACACTTCAGAGATCTACATGATATATCTAATTATAATCGGACATTTAGTTCATTCAGTGATTTTATGGAATGGAAACAGAAATATGAAGTAGAAAATACCGTTAAGTACTGTACATTATAATAAAGGTTCAGAATCGAACATTAAGCCTAATAGTCTATATATTTTATAAGTGTCATAGATCATAAACGTCAAGTCCCTCATATTTTATTTTATTCACAATTTCATTTCATAATCTTACAATATTAATTTATATAGAAGAATTCATTTTTAAACAAGGTGTCTATTCATAAATTTATTTTATTTTTACTTTTAACTAATAATTTCGAACAAAAGCATTTATAATTATAAATAGACAACATAAGAATTCTACCGATATATTTTAAACCGCACTCATTACATTCCATTTTATTTAATTAATTAATAGTGCGATTAGTGTTTTAAATTTACGTGCGCAGATAATAAATACCAGAAAATTTATACTTTGTTACAGATATTATTCATAAAAAGTTCGAGAAAGGATGAAATTTATAATTAAGATAAGTCAGAATATTCTTTGAATTTGTCACATGCATTTAATATAGTTAGATGAAACAATAAAATTAACTAAATTTTATATACCTCTGAAAGAGAAATTTTCACAAATCTTGCTTAACAAATTATAAAGTTTAAATGTAAAAGTTGTTGAACAATTTTGGTAGTAGGTTGACGTCATTCAGCTAACCAATCAGCGCGTTGTGCCATCTGGATATTTAGTCGCACGTCTTCAACCAAGTGGGCCTTAAATAAGCGGTACACAGAAAACCCTGTCTGCCTCGCGTACATTCCAGAAGTATACTTAATTAATCTCAATTTCGTTAGAACGATCTCATGGAACAAATTAATTTCGAAGTACGAGATACCATTGTACCAAGGCAAATAACTGCCTAAACCTAATAATAAAAACGACAGTTATTTAAAAATTTTAAAAATATATATTTACGAGTATAATTAAATCAGAGAAAAATGAACTTTGCCAAGAAACAACTGACAAGGAATGACTACAGTTGCCATCCTGCACACAGAGAACTTTCAATTTATTATTGTTTCCTTATTAATTTTTTTTTTAACTGTTAGAACATTAAAACAACCCATTGCACTATCTCCTAGTCTTAATTTTTGTTTTTTTTTTTTTAAATTACGCGTTTATTAAAATATATTACTGTTCGGGTGCAGAATTTTCCCCTTATTTATATGGTCAACACTGCAAACATTTCCAAACTCATGGATGTAGAAACATTTCATTCGATTGTATAATGTGTCATTATATCAATGACTAAAAGAACGATAAAAATGGTCGAATATATGTATATACTTGTAACAATCTATTCGCGAAAGCTAAAAAGAGATGTCAAACGTGTTTCCCGGTATATAAATGCATTTTATTTATTATTTTATACGAATTTCATTTACAATAATCCAAATTTAGGATTGTCGGATTAGACAACGCAACACAGACGGTCTGCCAATGAGAGAGTGTCTCCCGGGAGGACTTTTTAGAGAAATTCGTCCCTATTTAAGTGCTAGGAAAACCTGGAAGACTCTGTGTGGCCAGCCAAAACTAAAATATTTATAAATTTAAGATTTCATTATTTATAGAAGACAAATAAATCTCTTCAGAAATTTATTAAATATATCTTTATTATTTTCTTACATTGATATTTAATTATACAGACTATTAATATAGTGTCTGCTTATTTAGTAATATTAGAGTCCATTAATGTTAAATATTCCTTAAGGAAATTTTCTTCTTCTTCAAGAGTAAAATCAAGATGATCTTCTTCATAATTAGAAATATCTTCCGCTAACCTATCAACTGCTGCTCTTGCCTGACTTTCCTGTTCCCTTGTTATATTAGAAGTATCTGAAAACAGATCATTAATGAAATAAATTAAACACAGGTCTGCAAGTAAAAAACTGCATAGGATTTTTATACATTTTCTTATAGATTTCGACTTGGTAAAAACGAAAAAATACCAAAAAAATTCCATCGCGTCAATTATTTTTGTTACACTCAAGTTTTTGTTTATATTTAGTGTAAAATTCCTAGTTAACTTAGAATTTAGTATTTTTTTTTTAATGGCCTTAAAACGAAGACTTCTCACATTAATTCTATCAATTATAGCTGGACTTAGCAATAAATAAAAAAAAATGTTAATGGATGAAGAGAGTAGTGGTAGAGCGAGATGAGTTAAGTAGTTTTAGTGTCAGGAGGATCACATGCTCCTGTAGAAACAGGTTAAAAGTTGATAGTGATCACCAGTAATATCACTGATCAGTAACAATCACCAGTAATATTACTGATGTTGAGCATGTTTCGACATGTTATCTGGGATACTAGGAATAAATATAAACAACCTGCTGTTGGATTGGATCATGTTTCAACAAGCTAAATAAGTTCAGTATCTTGCTGTCCACCTAATGCCACATTCCAGCATTTGAACGTTACTGTGCTTGTATTTTTATTTCTGGAATGTGGCTTGCAGAGATTGTGTAATTTCTCCAGACAGCTTCTGTTATGTTTGTGGTGAATACACAGAGAAAAGTCAACATCCCCTTTATCTGATCCCCTCTTTTTGGAAACAATGGGAGAAAAGGAAAAAGAAGCATGGAACTCTTTCAAGAATGTAGTGCATAAGTTTTTGGGAAATACTAGGGACCATGACTACAAAACCATTGTACAACACATGCTGGCAGCGTACGAAGCTCAAGGATGCAAGATGAACTTTTTCATCTTGCATCCTTGTGCTTCGTACACAAGTTCATTTCTTACAACTCCCATATTGACTATTTTCCTGAAAACTTGGGAGCCTACAGTGAACAACAGGGTGAAAGATTTCACCAGGATGTCTGTGATATGGAGATAAGGAAAATGGGATGTCAATATGTTAGCTGACTACTGTTGGATGCTCAATCGAGAAACCAGAGAAGGAAATCAGAAACGATTCCAGAGCTTTTCCCAGTTTTCAAAACATTCCTGGAACCCTTTTTTTGTGGTGGCGTTAAACACTCACTATGATTGTGTTTGGATGTCATCAATGTCCTCAAATCACTGTCCTTTTCAGCACTTTTTTCAGCTGTGGAAATAGAAACAGTCACACGGTTCCAAGTCTGGTGAATAAGTAAGTGGAAACCACAGCCATTTTATTTTTGATGAGAAACTGTTGAATAGAGATAGCTGTGTAAGCAGGGGAATTTTCATGATGCAACAACCAGTTTTGAGCTTTCCAGATATCATCTTTTTTGTCAAATTGTCAAAGAATAATTCCCTCCCTACTGAAAAAAAAACAATAAGCACGCTCTTGAGATTACACCTCACTTGGCATGCTTTCTTTGGTTTGGGTGAGTCATGAATTTCCCACTGAGTCAATTGCTGTTACGTCTGAGAGTCATAGCTGTAACTCTATGTTTCATCTCCAGTAATCACTCTTTTCTGTTGCAGTCTTATCAAGTTTGAAACAAAATTTCACTCACACACACTGTTCCTTAAAAAATTCATTTTACAAACATATGAAAATTGCAAATTGACAAAAACACAGATCTAATCCAACTAACAAGAAATGAAAACTATATATGATAAGGGCACAAAAATTTGACGGGAAGCTAAATAATGATGTCTATTATGCATTCTTAGTTTACACAAGTTCAGCACTTGGAAAATTATAGCACCATGTAACCAGTCCTAGAACTTTTTGACTGCACCTTGTACATGCATGCACAAATTTTATTATGATTGCATTAACATTACATTACATGCGTTAGTGCACTGAGTTTTTTTTCAGCATTAGTGCAGTGGGGCGTTTGTCCACCCCGACATTTTTTTGGATCCATAAACCATGTAAGTAAAAATTCATAAAGATTTACTCATTTATTTGGTAAAGGCATGTGTCATTATACATATGATTATATTCAGGTATGATTACATATTATATTAGTACATAAATCCACGAAAATAAAAAACAACATTTATCAAAACTCATTACATTAGATCTTATTATTAAACCAATAGTAAAAATCTAAATTGTTTTTTAAGCATTTTTGTCACTCTGATTCAATAGCTGACATTGTACTTTGGCACTCATTGCAAATGACAAGCAGCTTGCTATGTTTGGTATTTTCTCAATGTGTTTATGAAAGTCAGCCATTTTGAATTAAAATAAACTTAAATTATTTTTATTCACATTGATTATTATATCTATATTATAAATAATAAATGTGGTCACATTATAGTTATTTGAAAAATAAAAAAAACTAAATAAATATTTGTAAAATTTTAAGAAAAACGTAATTAATACTGTGGGGTTTTTGGACACCCCACTGAGAACTGTTGTTTTTCTCTTACTGGAATTTCTGCAGCATCGTAGTAATTTCTGAGCATGCTCTATACATAAAATCATGAAGCTACTGAAGAGGACACAAATATTTCTTGCGAAATCTATGAATAGTGCAATTTTTAAAACGTCGGGGGTGGCGAAACACCCCACTGCACTACCCCAGGGTTAATATTACAAAAATTATAGTGATTTCTCAATGCCTAGTTACTTTCCACCCATCCTGTATCTAGTTTTACACAGTTCTAAAAATCAAATACAGTGGACTATCATTTTACAATTAGTTTCAAAGCTTCAGTTTACAATGAACTTATAACTGTTACCAAATGGACAATATGGAACAGCATCAGTGGCATCAATTATGACCCCATTTTTTTGCATTTCTTGACATTTTGGCACTCCTGGAATCCAAAAATGTAAAACACTCCCTTACAAAATTCTCTGTGTGAAGGTGTGTATGGGCATCTATTTTGCCTTATATCTCAGGACTGGATAAACCAAAAATCTTGAAAATTGGCAAGTTTACTTCTTATGTAGGGCATTGATACTATTAAATTTTGGTAAAAACAAGGGGAGATAGATGGGAGCCATGTGTCATTTTGAATGTGATCAGACTTAATTAAAGCTTTACTTGTTATTAACATTTATAATTTCTTTAAAACTCACTCTTATCCCAAAATAAAGCCTACTTTGTCTGTAATGGCATAAAGATTACATCTCTGAGTTAAATTACCCATGATGAACTATAAAGATCCAATATATATCTGAAGCTGGATCTGTCATGGAAATAAAATATAAAAATTTGTTGTTTTATGTTTCAAACTTTTCAATTTTGTGAAGTCAAAAGGAAATTCAAATAATTTTGTTAAATACCATCTAAAAAATTTAATACTTTGAAAATAAAATAAACAAGAGGTAAACATTTCTGTTTTTACTTTGAAGCTAAAATTCTGATCATAACTCACTTAAATTTCAAAAGCAAAAATAAACAAAATATACAAATAGAAGCATTTGAAACAAGACAATGTGGGAAATAAAATTATTTATGAATTATCTACATTTAAATATGTAATAAACGTACTTGATGAAGACATTTCTTTTATTAAATGAGAAATTGCACCTTCAACATTATTTGATAAACTTTCTAATGCATTTCTTGCTGCATCAATTTGAAATCCAAGACTAACAATCTGAAATAAATTGAAAGAAAACTTATTATTTTATTTCTAAATTTATATAATAAATTGTTTTTCAGAGGGTTTAAATTATTTCTAAATAGCCATATACAACAAAAATTAAAATTAAAAAATAACATATACAATAATTTATTTTGTTTAGCATTATTTAAAAAATTATTCTTGATTTATTAAATCTATTTTTAAATAATAAATTTTAAAAAGATATTGTATATGTAACTAATTTAAATTATAAAGAAACCAATACATGATTCAAACAACAAAATCAACTAATGTAATAAAATTAATAAAATTTAAAATATCCAATGGGACTGGAAATTTAAATTCAAAAAAGTTTTTTAAAAACACAAGGAAAACCACTCAAAAAACATTACATTAGTTTTTCAACTAATGTAATGTTTATCTAAAATAAACAAAAAGTATTTAAATGACACTAAATAAATATGAAATCATATAATATTTATATTATTTATTACATTTAATTTTGACTAACAAGTAAGAAAATCAATATGTTTTGTACGTCAAAGTATTTTGAATGTTGTCAAATTAACTTTAAAATATAGTATAAGTTTGTTAATTCAGCACCTATAGGCCAGAATACTGCCATTTTTGTATTTTCTCAAATTATATGCAATCTGATTATTGCAGATACTGCTATACATTTTGTAGCAGCACATACTGCTGTATGCTTCCAATTGTGAAGGTCCGAAACCCTTATTCTGTTTTAGATCAGTATAAATCTAGGAATTTTCCTAGTAAAAGAGAAAAGGGGGACTTCTACGGTCAATGACCGAGACGCTCTCCTCGAATAAGAAAAAAGGGGAGAATGTTAAAATATCAATAAGAGAAATCATCTCTATTTGTTTAACAGTTATTCTATAGACGTTAGTATCAACAAGAAGGGAATAAGAGATATTTCTTATCACCTCTTGGTTGCAAGTAACACGTGGTTACGGCAATAAATCGCCTTGTTCATAGTCAAACACGACGTTTGATATAAACAATATCTAAATAGTTGACCAGGTTAAAGAAATTATTGTCAAATGATTGTTAATTTATGGATGAGAGCCATCAAACCTATAGAAATTTATATCATAAAATCATATCATCTTGACACCAATATCAATAAATTGAACAAATTTCTCTATGTCAATTGTCCGAACTAGCTAGATCCAAATATCAACACACTAGCAGGTGTGCGGCTAAATCATTAATAACGTCATAGTTCTCACCCCCTCGAAATCAGTATAAAGAGGGCTCCCGGCCAGTATCAGGGTGGCCTCCAACTTAGAAGGAAATAACGGATTGACGATCCTCGTCGCTGACCACCAAAGACGGACAACACGGTTAGATTCTACAAGCTACAACTTAGTAAGTAGATTTCTCTCCCTTCTCTCAGGTGGACTAGGGCTAATTCCTAAATAGATTTTAAGAAGGATCAAAGACTATCCTCTATCATAAATATGCGAGATGTAGCCGGAAAACCGCCTATTGTAACCTCGGTTAGAGATTAGCATTATTATTAATTATTGTAACCTTTTCATATATATCATTAGTTAATTAAATATATATATATATATGTTATCTTAAATATGTGTGTTTACTCGTACTCGGTCAACACCTTATCAACTTATCCGCAACCTCCCCACTCGATTTTCGCCCTCCTAAATTGCCATCCACTGACCCTGTGAGCGGGACTCACCGCCCCGTTGTCGGGAAACGGTTTAGGCTTTGATGCATAAACCCCGATTCTCACACAATTTGTTTATGCACACTTGAATCAGTAGGAAGATGAAACATAACAAACTATAGTTTTGCAATGTAAGTATTAATTGTAAACACTTCTATGCACTTGTAGCTAGAACTATATTTAAGATGATCAACACAAAACCTTCCTCACTTATTTCTAGCTATATATACAGGAGAAATAAGTGAGGAAGTATATAAGAGTACTCCTAGAAATAAGTGAGGAAGGTTTTGTGTTGATCATATTAATTGTAAAACCTGCAAAAAAAATTAATGAACATATTATTGACAAAATCATCATTCACTATGATTAATATGCATATTTATTTTCCAAATAGAATGTATTCCAATTTGTGGAATATTAGCATACCAGATTGTCAGCTACTTTTCAGGAGGTATGGGATTACTGGACATTCCAGATAATCAGGCATTAAATTAACAAACTTCCACTGTATATTATAATATACATTTGATTGATAACATAAGAAAAAGAGCATAACTAATATTCTAAATTCTATGTTCTTCATAACTAACTCCATTGATAAATGAACCATGTAATAAGCCATGATGTGATGATGCATAAACTTCAGCCACAGCAGCTACATCCAAAGAACAAGGAACATTCTGTTGATGTACAGTATATACTTAGTAGTCACAATCACTGGAGATATTAACTGCTCCACCCAATGCTTGGTATAGGAATATATGTAGGATGTGCCATAAGTTTTTCCCTTGCCCTTTCCTAATGAGAAAGGGCAAGGGAAAAACTTATGGCAAATCTTTTTCACTATGGTGGTTTTTTGGGACATTTAGAAGAGCTGGATGTCAAAATGAACATCCTGCTTCTCCAACATTTTTTCAATTATTGATATATATTAAATGAACTATATACAGTGGGTGATATCCTTTCTCATTAGGAAAGGGCCAGAAAAAATAATGGTTATTTCTCAATACAATCGTCCTTGATTTCAACACATTTATGACATTTAAAAAGCAATATTTATAAAAATATTCTGAAAATTTTTGTTTAAAATGGTGCATTATTGCTGTCTTTAGTTCCTCATCACTGTCAAAATGTCTTCCTCAGAGCATTTTTTAAATCTGGAAACAAAAAATAGTCTGACAGGGTCAGATGTAGGTTGTAAGGCTGCTCAAAGCCACAATCCTGAATGGCGGCTTGAGCAACTGCTGTATTGTCATGCAACAAGTGCATTCCTCTTGTTAATTTTCCTTATCTTTTTGCATATCACTGTATGCAACTGATGCAATAACACTGAATATACAGTTGAGTCTGCATAAGTCGACACCCCCAAAGGAAAGTGGAAATGTGTCAAGTTATCTGATATGATGACTAAAACAAAGTTGAAAAAAACCACAAAACTACAATTAGGAAAATACAGTAGTGCTTTATACAGTACTGTACATGCAATGTATCTCTCTGCCCATCCATCACTGGCACTAAAGTTGGTTTCTACTCCAAGTACCTCAGTGATTTCGCTTTTAGTTTAAGTATTGGCCCTGAAACAGGAAGATTCGACGAACGAATTTGTTTTAGCCAACGGATCAGAGAATCTTTGACATCTTTGTACAGCGACTTTCTCTGGCATTTTCGAGACAGCTGCAACAAAGACCCAAGAAATAGTTTTTTAATTTTCTCTTTTTTTTTCAGAATTCCCACCAATATTGTTCTTGGAAGGTTTTCTTGGTTTGCAGATTCGGCTTGTGACGTTTTATTACATTCAAATTCACATACAAGTTTGTATTTTTCCTTCAGCGTAAGTGTTGTTAGGTTTCAGATTCTCATTTCTAGCAGAAATGTGAAACACTCGCTGCAAATAACGCATGAATGAAAAGTGAAAAAATGCAAAATCAGATTCTGCTGAGATGTTAAGCTGTGTGGTGTGAACTCATTTTTTTTTTTTCAGGAGAGGAGTCAACTTATCAGAAGTCTAAATGAATATGGGACAGAAAAAGTATGCCGATTTATCCAGTGTTGACAAGTTAAATAGTGTTGAGTAAACCAGAGTTTTTTAAAATTAATGCCTATGTAAGTCGATTGGGACCAGAGAAAACTGACTACTTAACCGACGGTGTCTAGTTATACCTATGATGACTTATGAAGACTCAACTGTATTTTGCATTTACACTGAATATTTCCACCATCAATATGCACTCACAGTTCCAAAACACAGTAGTCATGATTTTCTTATTGATAGCAACATCTTAGCCTTTTTTTGGGGGCTCCCTCCCATGGTCTTCACCACTCTATTGATTCCATTTTGGAAAAGGGATCATAATAAGGGAGCATAGTTTTGTTCCCTGTAACAACAGATTTCTGAAAATCAACACCCAGTTTGTAAATGTCCAAAGTCCACTGTGCACTTTCTACATGCTGCTGCCATTGAACAGCAGAAAGAAGTTTGGGAATTCATCTTGTGCTGCCTTTGCTCATGACTAGATTCTTATGAAGTATATACCAAACACTCATATCCAATAGGTTGGTCATTGCTGTTATTTCTTTCACTTTCAACAAGTGATCCAAAAGAACCAGTCGTCACCATACCAATTTTTTCCAAGGTTACTGCATCTACCGGACAAGAATCCCTTGAAGATTACATGAGATCATGTAATCTTCAAGGGATTCTTGTCCTAATCAAAAACATTTAGCACATTCTTTTACAATGGTATATGACAGCAAAGCTTCTCTGTACACATTGTAGTTCCCCATGTAAACAGAATAGGGGAGACACAAATAAACAGTTTATACACACTTCTATTATACTTAACTATAGCTAGATATATACATATATACAATAAAAATTCTATCACAAATATACAAACATATGACCGGACATAGATATACAAACATAACAGAAGTCTTAGACGTGCAGCACCACACAAAATACAATGATATTTCTACACAAGCTGATCACTCTTGATCAAATTAATTGTCTTCAACTGGGAAAATAATCTTCCAAATCTTCAGTTTTATCAACAAATTCAAAGTTTCAATTAACATTTACCGTTCATACCCAACACAACTCCCAACAAAAGTGGACTGCACATGAAGTCCAGCTCCAACTCTTGATTTCCACAAATGCCTAGGCTTGTTGTTTGGCTTCTTCCTCCTGCAAATGCACATACCACACCAAGAAAACTCCACTGAAAAAGATGAGATTTCTCTCCTTGTCATGTCCCTTTTTGTTCCCCAGAAATGTCACCTGACCAATCTGGACCTTTCCCCCTGCCATTCTATTGTTATAGTGACCAAATGCATATCCAGGGTACACTGACTGATGGTATGGAAAGGAGGAATGTAAAAGATGAACCAGGGAATAAACAAAAAAGAAAAAACAAATATATACATATATGTACACAGAAAGTAGATAAAACAAATATATTAACATAAAACACAGTGTAGTAACACCACAACATGATCTAGACATTTCTTGATTTCCATGGGTGCTTAACCTTTTGTAAGAAACATGATGACTGTCCAATACTCTAGTTTAAAGTTTGCTGTCTTGTCATATACAGAGGCCCACTATAAATCACCTTTTAATACTACAGGCAGTAATTTTGCATAAAGCACTAATTACTCTTAATGTACTTGTCTTGACAGGTCTTTTAGTCATGCACAGTAGGTTAGGTCAGGAACTTATGGCACTTCCTTTGTATTTAAGACCCCATCTTAACACTTATGGCACTTCCTTTGTATTTAAGACCCCATCTTAACACTTGCTAAACCTGTTCAGAAATGTACAGAGCGGTAATAAATATGAAAGGCACTACTACTGGAAGCCAGCTTCATTTTGTTGACAAACTTAGGAGCCATAGAACTTGCTAAGCATAAAATAGAAATTGGATAGCATGTTGTCATAAAGATCACTTTACTAAGCTGCTCATAGAGTAACAAAAAAATCACAAGAAGTGAACCTTAAATGAATTAAATATAGTTTATCTTCCAAAGTCACCACATTGTATCTAATAAGTCTTGCCAACAGTTTATTTTTAACTTTAAGAAGCATAGGCTAGACACAATGTGGAAATGATAAATAGCTGAGAGACATTTTGGTACCCTTCATTTGGTTTTTGGCAACTTAACAGAAAATCTAGCTAAAAATTTTCTCTAATCCATTGCATTCTAATTTGAATTAAAGAAAAAAGTGAGATCTTGCCATCAGTTTCCATACTTTGTACATGTCCTACTTTGCTTATAAAAATATATCCCACATATAACAGCATGCTCTTATACTGTATTTATGTCATCTTGTTTTGGCCTATAAGAGAACTGCACTATTGTGTCAATGTAAATTGATATAAATGTACTGATACAGTAATTGTTCAGTAACATTTCTGTGGTAACCAAAAAACCAAAATAAAATAGTTTGTCCAATATAAAAAGTTTTTTTTTTAAAATTGTGAGTTTTTTAGGCACTATGCAGAATATAGGGCCAATTTTGTCTTATAAGAGCATGCTCTTATAGATGGTATGGTAAATTCACACTAATTTATTATTTCAATATATTCATACATTACAATCATCATTATTTTTAAGATTGTTCTATTGAGTAACAACAATTCTCTAATTATTAAAATTATTTTTAAAGAAATTGTTAAAAAATATTATCACAGTAGAAAAGTATTTTCTTTTAATAATAAATAAATTTTTGAATTAAGTATTTAATAGTTTAATACAGTTATTCAATTAATTTTTCAGGTTTAAAATTTGTGAATCTTTTTAGAATTTTTTAGATTTTAGTAATTGTATGTCAATTTACATTAATAAAAAATAAACTTAATTTATTAATTCTTAAAAAATAGCCATAGTAATATTTAAAAACTTGCATAAAAAGAAAAAAAAATAGGAAATAAGATATTACAATTATAAAATTTAATAGATTGAATAAAAGTTACCTTTGCAACATTTTCTTCCGAAGCATCAGTGGTATCAGAAAAATTTAAAAAATCTTGATTTTGTTGCAAAATCTAGTTAATAATAAAAATTATATTAAATAAGTTTAAAAGTTATATCTATTCGTATGTTATTTTGAATTATTCATATTACTATCTCATATAATATAAACACAGTTGAGCACCAATTATTTAGAAGTCAATTATCCAAACAATTGATTAACAAAAATTGACTTCAGATAGTACTAATTCCAGAAATTACAAAGCTTTTACATAATAAAGATTGTTATAGATCTTCTGTAAGTCTACTATTGAGATATCTTATTATTAATTTTACTATTATGTATTTTTTTATTTTGAATTCAAGGCTTTGTCAGTTTGTCATAAATTGCAATGAAAGACTAGTGTTTGTTTTTTTTAATAAATAAGAAAATTTTCTTGTTATTTCTAATTATTCATTTACAATAAATTTCTATGCCTTAATCTTTAAAAGATGGTAGCTAGATGTACCGCTAGACCAAATTACATACTATTTAATTCTTAATAGTAGCAATAATATAGCACAATTTAATCCAGAAATCATTTGGCTTTAATATAATTATCAGACTTTGAGATGTTTATATTTGTATATATACATCATGATGTAGTAAAGAGAAAGCTGACTAAGTAATAGTGTAAGTCTAAAGGCTGTAGGTGCTGAGTCATCCTCACAAGTATTTAGTATGGTTATATCTAAATTAACAGTTCTGGAAGCAAAGATTGGACAGCAGTCTGGATAATGTAACCAGCACTGCATTTGCATGGCAAGTGGCAGTTGTGGATTTGAGTCCCACTCCAGACTGATTCTTTTCTTCTAGAACCTTCTAAATTATTTAATAAATTTAATAAAAGATGGTACCTAATGCCTACCTCTAGGTCAAATTACATAATATTTAATTATTAATAGTAGCAATAACATAGCCTGATTCAGTCTAGCAATTGTTTGACTTTAATCTTTTTAACTATTATACTAGAGTTAAAATTAAAATTTTTACTTTATTTAAGGTATTGATCTTTTTATTCTTTCTCTACAGAGTGTGAACAGTTATCCAAAAGTGTCTCACTCCAATTATTTTGGATAATTGATGCTCTACTGTATATTAATCATTATATATAGAATTTTTCTCAATACAAAATACTTTCAATAGCATAAAAAAATAATTTAAAGCAAAGCATAACATCAAAATGTACATTTAAGAATAAAAATTAAAATATTTTTCTTACATCAACTGTAAGGGAAGCATTATTATTAGCTTGTTTTAAGGCTTCTTTTACTTTTTTTGGTGGATATCCCATTGAACAAAATTGATCATAAATACACACATTTAACCTAGAAATAAACATAATGATGGAGATTTATTTTTTTTAAAAATTAAAATAACAAATTATTAAAAAATATAAATTTTTTTATATTACTATTTCAAATATCAAAATATTAAATATCTTTATCATTATATAACAAACTAGGAGTTCTGCCCCTGACCACCTTTGATAGTTAAACCCATGACACTCTCATATCTATGTTGCAATATATAATCATTTTTTAGACAATATTAGTTATAAACACATATCTATATTAAATAACTGTAAATAATATAATAAAGAATAATCTACAGTAAGATAAAATTAAAATGCTGTTATTTAAAATGATTTAGATCAAATCAAAAGAATAATTAAAAATAGACAGGTGACACTTAAATTAATTGTCCAAGGGCTGTTATGACATTCTATGAGGTATTCAATATTAGACTTATTTTAGACCCTATAAGACATTGTAATGTCTCATAGGGCCTAAAATATTTGATTTTTTTTAAGATTTCAATTTTTCTAGTAATATACTCAGGATCCTTTTCTAAATGCTCTACCTCATTTTTTTGTAAGATGTCTGCTTCTATTCAAACATTTCATGTCAATGGATGAGCGAATAACTAACTGTATCATGCCAATTTATCTTTATTATATTAGATATACTGTATATACTGACATGTAAGACAACTCTGAAAAACACAAAAAAACACCTCAAGATCAGGGATTATCTTATATGCCAGATACAAAAAACAGGAAGCTTAATTTCTTGGATGAATATTTAGTTATAATTGGGTGGATGTTCATATATTAGGTATAATATATTCCTATATAAAAGAAGTCCAGTCTTCATTAAAAAACTAAGTTTAGTATTTGTGAACATATAAATTTATTTTAAAACAGACAAAAAGTGTAATTTAACAAAAAACATAAGTTTTAAGAACCATTATACCTTACTAGATAACTAAGTTTGCCAGCTGAAGGAAGGAGTTCATTAAGCAAGTCCTGAGATTCATTGTTAAATTCTTGTCATAAGAATTCCAGTCTAAGTATGATAATCAATTTTGCTTTCATTGTCATCAGTGTCCTATAACAAGTCATCTTCCATGACATCATAATTTAACACCATTTTCATCCATCCATCCTTATTCATAATAAGGAACAAAAATATCTGAGGAAAATTTTATTTTAGTTTTAGTTTTTAGTTTTACACTTGAAGATGATTACAAGTTTTAACTGAATTCCATTGGCTAGGCCCAACAAGATCACTGTAAATCTGGCTTTTTTATGGTCTGTACTCAAACTAAGCACAGTTTTCATATCTGTAGAGTTCACCCCTTTTTGCTTATATCAGAATCCATATTTTAAACATTTAATAATAAAAATTCATATTTTTTTTCTTCAATTGAATAATAAACTAATGAAAACTGGTGTATCTTTATGGTGAAGATCTGCTGGTAGTTTCTGAGCAATCTTTGTTCTTTGTCATATTACAAAATTTTTTCTGCTTATGACAGCTGCACCATTCTGAAGTTGCTTTAAATTCTCTATACTGTTCTGGATTTAATCTTGACCACTTTAGTGCATATACTCTGATCATATTTCTGTTGATTATGTAGCCATCCTGTCTTTGTTTGAGTACTCATTCTGCAACACGATTTTCCAGTTGAGCAATGAGCCAATGAGCAATTCCTGTTCTCATTGCACATTTTTTCTTTCTTTCTTAAAATATCTTTCTTCCTTCTCCAATCTTTTACCATTTTTTCAATTATATAAAACTTGTTTGCAACCTTAAAGCTGCTCAATGCCTTTGCCATTTTAATTACTTTTAATTTAAAACTCACTTAATATTTTCTGCACTTAATTTGCTCCATAATTTCAAATGATTATTAAAATTTTAAAATTTCATTTAACAAATTGAATAATTCAAAATTTTTAAACAGGCTTACAGAGAAGAAAAAAATCATCTAGAACAGAATATCATTACTCACATACAATGCCAAATGTAGGATACAGGTAATATACTGTCTTTCAGCATTAACCTTGGTGAAATCATGGGGATATAAAAATAAGCAGATAACTCATTCAACAAGAACTTTATGATTTTAAGATTAAAAGTCTTGTGGACAAGCATGTTGTTGTGATAGAACAACATATGCAACAACTACCATTTGTTGTTCTATACTGTTCAACTTTGGGTGCCTTTCCTGCTACCTATGGAAAACTTCCAACATGCACATTATCAGTAGTGACTGTCCTCTAAGTATTGACACCACTGTGGCAATATGTTTTGTTTTTAGAAAAATGAAGCAACCATTTTCTCATCTGGATGTTGGCTTCTGTGAGCATTTTTGAGTATTAACTCATTGGTACTGTTATTTCATTTCTAGATCATAATAAGAAATCCACGATTCATCACTTGTTACTACATTTTACATGTCTGACTCTGTTCTGATCCAAACTTTTGGACAATAAACTAGCATAATTCCAAGTTATGATGACTGATAAAAATAAATTAAATTGAAGAGGTCTATGCAACAGGATGTAAGTCCACTAAAGCTGGTTTTGAGTTCTCAGTGGTTTTTACTCTCTGTGCAGGTGTCCTCATCTGCCTATAGAATAGAATTATGTCATGTATAATTGTGGGCTGTCATAAGCATTTGAAGTTTAAAAGTGTGGAATAAGAGTATATGTCTAAAGGTGTATATGCTTATAACTCTAAAAAGTATAATAAGGTTAAACTTAAAAACTTTTAAAAAGGCCTCAATCAGTTCTTGTATATTTAAAAAGAATTGATTGTCATTTTGTATCAACACTGATAGATGGCATTGATACAAAACGACAATCAATTATTGGAAAGTCAAAACTTCAATTATCAAACAAGTGATACTGACGAGGATTGTTGAAATGAAATGCATTTATCACAATGAAAACATTAAAAAGAAGTAAATCAATTTTTATTTGATTATTTTTTAATGTCTATTATTTAAAACGGTTTTTATCTTGGATGAATAGTCTAAAAGAAAATTTGTATTTTTAATAATTAATTATTTTTTTAAATATACACTTCTTAAATGCTTGTGAGATAGTGGCAAGATAAAAATAGTACAAGTAGTGATTAAAAAAATTTACCAGGTATTATATTACCGGTAATTCAGTAATTATATTCTAAATTACTAGTTTATTGGTAATTTACCAGTAAATTTGTATTAACAAATGATTTAAAACTAAACTGAATTACTGACAGAATTATTGAATGACCATTTATTTTCAAGTTTTTATCAATTTAGACCAGCGGTCAGCAACCTTTCTGACCTCATAGACAACTAAACTCACAGTTTTGAATTCCGCGGACCATTATCATGAATTTTTTTAAATGATACAAAATCTGTAGAATAATGTTCATAAAAGTTTAATTCTACTTTATTAATATGAAACTGGTTTGTTTAATTATAACAAATTAATGCAAACCTAAAGTTTGTTACTGCTTGTTTGAAATAAGTTTATAGATTCATAGTGCTTTTCCACGAAGGACAACAATTGCACTCACAATATTGTTTATTGTTCGTTATTTATTGATAACAGTCACTTCGTATTTGGTTTTAGATTCAAATAAAAATCCCCAATGAGTGAAAAAAGCAACTAAGCATTTTGCATTTCTTTCGTAATATTTTGATCAATGCCAAATTTCTCCATGGACCACCAAAATTTTCTCGCGGACCATCAATGATCCACAGACCACAGGTTGCTGACTACTGGTTTAGACAAACAACATTCTTGTAATAGCAATTATTGTGACACAACAGACATTGAAATAATGCTGATTATTAATTATGTTCTTTTTTATTTTGAACATAGGCTCTTAAAAAATGTAATATATTTAAGCTCTTGTCGTCTAATCTAAATCTAATTTACTTACAAATGGAACTGCATTAGAAAAAACTCTCATGGAATCAATACTAGTTGGACGTACTGTCATTAGAGCATTGAAAACCTTCTTAAGATGTGTTCCTTGTACTTTTTGTTGTAAGAAATAATTCATTTTTTTCTTAACTATATCTTTCACACTTTTAAATTTACTTACATTACTGTTATCAGTGTCTATGCTCATATGTTTAATGAATAAGTCCAATTTCTCTTTCATTGTTAAATTTGACTTTTCTATTGTGCACTTTCTTCTCGTGTCGACTTGAGAAGTTGATTGTGTGGGAAGCAATGAACACCTCTCGCCAGAATCTGAGTCTGAATTAATTTCAGTGACATTTGCAGATCATGATTCGCTTTCATTTTCTGATTAGTGCTTGATTATCTCTATAATCCCATTCAAAACTGTATTTTCGCTAACATTATTGGATATTTCGTGTGGCTTATATTTGTTGAATTTTCCTGGTTACTATATTCTAGAAAAGAAGACCCTTTTTTGGTGAGAATCAAGTTATAAACAGACTAGAAAATTCCTTTTAGTAACCTTAAATTACAAATGGAATGATCCATCACCACCTGCACTGTTTTCTCACTATGCTATGGGGTGAGAGAAAAAGGAAATATGCTTCTCACAGGTATTTCCCAAGGGAATTTTAGGAAAATAAATATCAGATTAATTAAGAGGTTTTTTAAATGAAATACTGGTAAAAATATTAATTACTGGTAAATTTACCGGGTTATAATTTTCCTAATATACCGGTATACTGGTAAACCAGTTACCGATAATGCAATAACTAAGTACAAGTCCACAGAGGGAAATATTGTCAGATTTTCAAATAGGAAAGTCTTCCTGCTCAATGCACTCTTATTGTTTTCAATGCAACCTTATTGAACTTTGTTTTTCTTTTTATTGCAATTCATCAGGTAAAAAAACTTCCTGGAAATATTTTCTAATTACACTTATTGAATAAATAACTAAGATCACTAAGAGGATCTATTAATACATTATTATTAAGATTTTTTTTGCAATTATTCTCTCTATATAACCAGAATTAGATAACTCATCATAATGTTGATCAATTCGATGCAAAAGACAGTTTTGTGTGGAAACAATGTTTAATCCAAAAATTGCAATTTCATTGATTTTCTAGTTCTTTGGAAGAATTGCAATAATCAAGAAACACAATTTAGATAACAATATCTTGAATGAAAGTTCAATCAAAATGTTGAATCAAAAGTGTATTAACATTGACTGAAACTCTTGTGCACAATGTAAAGTTGCATATCTATGTATGGGATTTGACATAATCCAGATATGTTGAACCTTGTTCATCAACACACCTAGCCACCCCACTGATGGTCTTGACAAATCTATGATGCACATAAAAACAGACTCTCTTAACATCTCCAAAGGAAAAGGTAAAAACAAAACAAAAACACTATTAATAAAAAGAAGAAAAAATAAAATAAAATTTTGACTTAATTTACCATTCGCCATTAACAGTTTTTCCAAGTTCTTTTTGACGTTTTTTATATTTTCTTTCTTCTTTTTCTTTTTGATGTATTTCTGCTAATTCCTGTAATATTAAAGAAAGCAAATTTAATAACAAATATTCTAATGATATGAAAATTTTCCAATTTCAAATGTAATTCTTTTTATCTTTTTCATTTAGAAATAAATGATTTAAATTTATTTCTGAACTTGTAATTTATAGAGAAATTCATTCCACAGAAAAATAGAAATACATAGTGTCCAAAATTATAGCAGAAAACAAAATCTGTTTAAAAATAAACACCATGAAATCTGAATAGCTGAAACTTGTCCAATTCTGAAGCTGGATTCTCATACAATGATGTGCGAAACAGACCTTGGAACCAATGTCAAAAGACAGGTGATATATTCCTCTTCTTGGAGCCAGGGAACAAGAGAAATGCGGTAGAATTTAATTGTCACATTCCCAGTCATAGATTGTGGGGGAGAGAGGAGTGACACTGATCAATGATTTTGCAGTCACCCGACACCAGGTAAAGCAAAAAAGCAACACTTTCTCAGAGAGGAATACGGCCAGGACTGTGCAGATGCAGCTGAGATCCTCTCTGAAAGGGAAGAAAAACACATTTTCTGTGAATTATGGGAAAATCATTTGAGAAGAAGTGTAATCCTACCCTCAGGGACAGCAGTCCATATTGGGAGAGATAGAGGATGGTCAACACTCTTGTGGCCCAAATTGCGACCCTAGCAACAGCAACAGCTTGGGAACCAATTGGGATGCAGGAAACCAACAGTTTGGACCAACCAGAAGTCAGAATTTTGGGATAAAATCATATAAAAGCCCAGGTTTTCAAGGACATGATGCAGTCATCATCAATATTGTCATTGTGGAAGCACCCACTTTCTCTCTCTCTCTCTCATCTTGTGATCAGCATACAACCCAACTTTGCCAATGTAGGTCCAAAAACTCCACCTGTATCTGTGGGGCAAGATCTCACCAATGGAAACCAACAGACATCTCTTCATGCGTGTTGTCCATCTTGCCAATGTCTTCTTGTCATTATCTTTCTCAGACTCCAGTTAGACACCACCTTCTTAAACATATATTATATATCTCTATTGTAAGCATTACTTTATTGTTTTATTAAACGTGAATATTACTGTCAATCTGTGTCAGTGTGAATCTCTGTGTCCAGTACCACTACCCCTATAATATCTATACCTCTCATGCAATGTTCCATCTAAGCTGCGCGGCTGCGCACTGCTCAAATTGTTGCCGTGCACGATAATTTATGTGCTGCACAGGCGAGCATGCACACCGATTTGAATTGTTGTTTACTTATTTCTCACTCTGTCTGCAACATGATTATTGCTGCGTATATTTCGATTAAATACATTAAATCATTGACAAAAGATAATATTTCGTATAAAAGTATGTTTTAAAATTAATTTTAATCTCTACTTTATAATTAATTATTTTAATTTTTACAAGAAAAAATAAGATTTTATATACATATATGCTCAGAAAATTTTTTTGCTCAGAGAAGTATATGTTCCGCTCATCTACAAAAAAAATTAGAGGGAACATTGCTCTCATGTCATCCTGACAGATCACGAGAAAGATGAGTATTCCTGTCTTTCACTGCAAGGACTGTGACAGAGAAATGTCAGCACAGCCTTTATGGTAATGTTGGGTTGAGGAATCCTTACACAATGTAAATCAGCAAAGTTTCATCCTATTACACAAGTGTCATGCAAATGAGGCAAATAGCAGTGTATCCAAGCAACAAAATGTAGTGTGCTTTATATATAGAACAAAATTGTTTCTGATAAACAATTGCTAACAGTGAGGAAATGTTCCTGATACATCAGTAGCTTATCAGGCATTTGGATGATTCATTTCAATGGAGAGCTGTTCATTTCTGCATTTTTGCCATGTACATTTGTGTGTGTTGCTTTAATTTTGGTGATGTGATTACTATAAAAATTTTTAAAATTTTCTATCTATTCAATACAAAATACAATAATAAGTATTACACAAACTGAACATTTTTTTAGTGTAAAAATAATTTTTTTAAATCAAATAATTAATTGGAAAACAGTTACTTTTTTCAGAAGAAATACATATAAGCCGTCCTCATTACATATTGCACCTGCTTGTGTTATGTAGATATGAGGAAAAGATGTAAGTTAATTTTTTTCATTTTTTTCTGCTATTTTTATTTTTCTAACCTTACTTTTGTTAATAAACATTAAGCATTAAAAATATATTTATTATTTATTAAACCAAACATTTATTTGTATTATAAATAATTGGTAAATTATAACTGTTATGTTATATTTGTGTTTTAATATTTTTTACTAGAAAAATAGATTGGTTCATTTTTACTACTTGTTTATACAACTTTTACACTTTTAATTGCAAGTATAATATTTTTATAGATTCATACAACTACAAGACATGCCTTGCATTCTACAAAATCATTCAGAAGTGAGCAAAATGCCAATACTATACAAGATGAAAGGGAAGGAAAAAGTGATCATAAAAATAAATCACAATGTGGTTCCAATGATGATGACTGTAATAGTGCTAAAAATAGTGATATGTTATATTGTATTTTTACTGTATTTTTCTTATTGCTTTGAATTTTTTTTGTGTATATGATTATTTTTTATATACACTGCTGGCCAGTGTATATAAAAAACACCTGCAATATTTAGAGTCCTACATGGTGTTGCATTTTATTTGGCCAGCAGTGTAAATAAATATAACATATATGATAATGAAGAAAAACAATGATAAATATTATTTATTCCAAAAGAAAAAATCGTCCATTCCTAGGATGGACAATTTTTTATTTTACATTAAATAATATCATGCCTGCTCATTTCAAAATACAGATTGCACCTGACAAAAGGTTAATCAAGTTTTTGGATAATTAATTTTCAGATAATCAATGCTCTACTGTGTATATATTATATGAGCTAGTGATATGAAAAAATTCAAAATAACAGATATAATCACCTATGGCACTCAGCCAGCCATAAACACCATGCTGAGGTTAAGCGATTGCCAAAAAATTGCCAATTTAATCAGACAATTGTTTGGCATATTACTAAAACATCAGGCTTTGAAATGTTTATATATGTGAAAACTAACTAGATATACCTCCTTAAGCAACATAATGATGCAGACCTTGCTTCTTGTTGCCTCCTGCTACTAATTTTGGATGACTCCCCATGGGTTTTAGTTTCTCTTGTTTTTCTCAGTCAATTTATTGGGATGACCATTTCTCTGCTTATTCCTACATTAAATCTTCACTTTCCATTACTGTATAACAAATGACATGGTTGTTGTTGAAGAGTTAAGCTGCTTCTTTGTGTTTTAAAGGAAGCATCTGTGAGGTGGAAACTATTTATAACACATTTCTCAAATTCTATGCACATGACACTAGATATATTATGGAATACTATCTGCAGGTCAATTGTTTAATCAAAGTTTGATGAATTAAGATAGTTATGGGGGTGTAAATTGACTTTTTGGTTGATAGTGTATATTTTATAAAATTTAAATTGCCTACATAATTTTATTTTAAATATCATTACTTAAAAACATATTTCTATTGCTCAACTTCAAAAATTCAATATAAAATCAAAAATTGTTTTTGTTGTTAATGCTTGTGTAGTTACAGAAAAAAATTAATATACAATATTTACCTCTTTTCGTTTTAAAATATATTGCACAGCTTGTTCTAAATTTCCTTTACAACCTCGAAGTGCTACTCTGGCTTCTGAAGGAGAATATCCTAAAGCAACAACTGTAAAGTAAAATTAAAGTTTAACAATTCAGTCACTGGATACTATATAACTATTAAACTATACTAAATATAACTAACTATTAAAAATGTCAAAAAATAATCACGAATAGATCATAAATTATTTATCTTAATTAGCCACTATACATAATGCAGGGAATATGTCATCATTCGAATTTTAACTTGTTCTTTGTTCTTTAAATTTGTTTTTAATCTGAAGATGAAAATGATATGTTCCAAAAACATTAAACCTTTATTGACATTTTTAACTTCTTTACATTTTAAATGTTTCAATCCCTTTTGATGTTGAAATATCATAAATCATTTTTTTCCTGATATTCCTATTTTGTAGAATTAGTATAAAAAAATTATACAAAAACAATAAATTCAGATGGATTTTGATGTTCAAGAATACATGAACATAACCTTCTAGTTGTGGCCCCTACATAACTGATTTCTTCACCTGACAATGCATGTTTTAGCAGGACTTAGTAGATTCCTAATTTTTCATTCCACTGATATCTGTCCCTATCATTACATAGTAGTCTTCTTAGACTTAGTGGTGGTGTTATTGGTAGAACAAAATTATTAGTTCTAAACATATGTGCAATTTTTAACAAAATGGGACCTAAATAGGGTATTGGGGATGTGCTATTCTTAGGTTTTCCTTATTAGAGAGAAAAGATTGCGGAAATAATTTATTCTTAACACGGTTTTGAAGAAATGTAAATTTAGAGCGTGAATAACCAGCATTTAACATGGCATTATAAATGATAAATAACTCATCTTCCACTAGTGACTGAGTAGAAGGAAGAAGGTATGCCCTCCGTATTAGAGAAGAAATAGCAGAATTTTTGTAGTGTGATGGCTGGTAAGCAGTAGCAGGTACGATTTGCAGTGCTTTATTATTTCTATGATGTACAGTGAATGTAAGCTCCGGAGACATACATATGTCTAGATCCAGGAAGGAGATTCTATTGTTTTTTTGCTCTTCAATGGTAAAATTAATTGAAGGATAAATGGAGGCTAACATTTGCATGAATTGTTGTAAACCCTCATTGGAGCCGTCCCACACAATTAACACATCGTCAACGTAACGTATATACATGAGAGTATACTGGATAGTTAAAGGGGCATTAAAAACTCGATGTTCTATATTCCTCATAATCAGTTCAGCTAAAACAGGAGATAGTGGGGAACCCATTGGTACACCCATTGGTACACCTTGCATTTGTTTATATATTTTCCCATTAAATTGGAAATAATTATTATGAGTGACAAGAAAAAGAGCTTCTCGCAAGTGTAGAACATGTGATATTGGGTGACTAGAATTGAGGAATAGTATTTGCCAGCATGACAGCCTCAAAATGCGGAACAGACGGAAATAAAGAAATAACATCAACTTTGTAAAGTCAGTATGAATTAGAGGGGAGGTTTCCTAATTTTTGTAAGATGGTAACTTTAGCTTCAATGGAGGCATGTGTTACAAATTCAGAAAGCGGAATCAAAGAAGTGATATGTTTTGCTAGCGCAGCCTCAGGATGGTACGTGGGATGGGATCTTTTGTTGACTAGTGGTCTTAGCATCCAGGAAGGTTTTTGCATTTTTACCTATGTAGGAATTTGGCATTTGTGTGAAGGTTTATAACCCCTCAAAGAGCCGATGGCGAGTGCTGTCAACCAGCAGATTGAAATGAGACAGGAAGTCCACGCTGATGATTGGCCTCTGGACATCAGCTATGACGAATACCCATGGAAGTTTCTTCATAATCCAAGGTCTAGGTTCAGTAACTTTCGGCCATAGGTCTTGATTATCGATCTGTTGGCAGCAAAAAGCTTGAGTTTGTTGCTGCTGCATCTCTCTTGGGATGATGGGGGTATAATGGAAATGTCCACTCCAGTGTCAACGAGGTATAGGGTTGCTGTATCCTTGTTGCTTATATAAAGGCAACTCAGCTCAATCCCCGTGGTCCCTGTTGCCAAAGAGAGTTGGGGAATCAGTTTTTCGCTTCCTGAACTGCAACTCTTTTTTCTTTGAAGTTACACAGTTGCCAACATTTGTAGGCATCGCTCCCAAAATGTGACTTGGTAGTAACAGATGTTGTGACTGGAAGGTCATTGACTGTGTAATCTCCCTTGATCTGGATCAAGTTCTTTGTTGTCTCACACGTGAATGTATTCGCTCATTCAAGTACAGCTACCTGCAGTGACAGTTCTGTTATTTGCTTTTGCAGGGTGTCCAGGGCAGGGAGTGACTCCATACGGTGTGTGCTTCCGATTGCTACAGGGGCAAATTTTACTGTCGTTGGGCCAGGGTTGAGTTCCCAAATCTGGTCGGCCATAGCAGCTAAATTCAAGAGTTCATCAATCAATTTAGCAGTGGCTAAATTAGGATATAGATAGGATAAGATAGGATATAAGATAGGATGCTTCACATGTTGATCGGTAAGCACTGGAAGCCACAGACTCTTCAAAAAATTCTTGCCAATTTTTTTGTTGGCAAAATTGAACATTTCACAGAGTAGTTGTGAGGGTTTATGGTTGCTGAATTCCATTTCCGTCAGTAGTTTCTTGGTGCGCTAGGTCTCGCTGTCCACAAAAGCAGGCAGTTCTTTGATAAGTTTGTATCTTCCTGAGGAAGGAGGATTGAGTAAAATGTCTGAAACTTGCATGAGAATTTCGGCATCGATGTAACTAATGACAGTATCGAATTTCATTTGGTCTGAGGATATTCCAGCATTTCGAAATTGGATCTCTATCTGGAGGTGATAGAGATCCAATTTCAAAACGTTCTTGACCATGTGTTCTGCATCCTTTGTTTGTCAGTAAAGACTAACTGAGAAACTGATCCAGGTGAATAATTTACTTTATTTGCATCAGCCATGCAATATTTACAATAGTGTCAAGATATAATACAAATCCAAGATTGGCACAGCTGTTGACTCCAATTGCAGGTGTCCAATTTCCAAAATGGCAGCACCTTGATGGCGACACATGCTAGACATATGTCAGTCCTTTGTTCAGGACTAGGCTTAATGGTTCTCTCCTCCATTTTCGTTTTCGAGTCTTTTTTTTTTGATGATCACGTTCAGGTCACCAGTTTAGCGGTGTGGCTAAAATCCGTACATGGCAAGTTTTGATGCTAGGCAGAATTGGTCTGGGTTGCATCTTACCTTGTCTGTGATGTCCACGACCTTGACCATGTGTTCTGCATCCTTTGTTTGTCAGTAAAGACTAACTGAGAAACTGATCCAGGTGAATAATTTACTTTATTTGAATCAGTTTACAATAGTGTCAAGATATAATACAAATCCAAGATTGGCACAGCTGTTGACTCCAAACGGTCTACTAATGTAAAGTGAAAAGCTGTCTCTCCTCATCAGAGTATGGGAGCAAAGTGAGGTCAGAGGGCAAAGGTCACATGGTGGCACCCTCTGCCCTACATCTTATTTTTAATTTGTCAAACCAGTCTTTGCTTATTACAAATTCCATAGTAGAATCTTCTTTTACTCATTTCTTTCAATCTTCATGCAAAATGAGAGCCTTATCTTGAATAATTGATAAATTGAATGGGATGCCTTTTTTATGTTGATTCCATAAAGTCAAAGATTTCTCATTTCATTCATTACCTGCCATATCTTTTTGAAACAATATTTGAAAAAATATTTCCACAATTTTGAACATATTCCTTAATTTTGTTCTTGTTTTTCATGATTGAACATATTGTCAATTTGCTTAAATTATACAAACGACTGATTGAAGCAAAAGATTTGCCACTTTTAGAATGTCTAATTATATTCATCTTTCTCTCAATCATATGGAGGTTATGAGACCTCGAATTCAACACTGCTGTTTTTTCATTTTTCACTCATTTATGAATTAATAAGGGGAGAGACTAGTGACTAATAGTTCATGAGAAGGTAGAATCATTACATGAAAGTACATGCATTTTTCCATGTATATTGATAAAAATCAAAAGTACAAAATGTGTACGAAATAGTGATTTGTATGAAAGTAGAGATCAGACTGGAGGCTCGGGTAGCATTACTGACAATGCATCCGCATAGTAAGCAGGAGTTATGGGTTCGAGTCCCACTCCAGGCCAATTCTTTTCTTCCAGAATATTCTAAATTATTTAATAAATATTAATTTAATTATAATTATTAAATTTAATAAGGATGGCATCTAATGCATCCCTCTAGTGACAAATTATTTAGTAATTACAAATCAAATCAAATCAAATTTATTAACATATAAGGCCTTAGCCTGTTACAGGGGTTACATATTTTACATTTTGTTTTAACTTAAAGAACAAAGACTTTTAAATTTACATTTTATATCTATAGTTTTTTGCATGTCGAAACAATTTAATTCTTAACAATCATTTTTAGTATTTAGTACTCTGATTTTTAACAGCTCTTGAACATTGTTCTTTTGCATCATCACATTCATAGAACAAGTGTAATTTTGATAGTACTTTCTTACACATAGGACACTTAGATTGAGAATATTCTATATATTTCTCTCCAATCATCAATCCATTTTGGTTTAGTCTTAACTGTATAAAAAATTTTTTGCATTAAATGCGAGACTTGTTACCATATAATTATTGATTAATGGGTAGTTAAGAATCACTCTATAGCAGGATTTCTTAAACTATAGGTCGCAACCCCATTTGGGATCACTTAGCGAAATCTTGGGGTCGCAAGATTTTAATGCAAAATATTGAAAATAATTTGTGAGAGTTTGAAAATGGCATGCTTTGTGTCATAGATTTTGTGAGTTGCGCTTTGTGTCACTGCTGATGCAGCGAGACAATGATTCAGCAACACTGTAGTGTGAACTAGTGTGATGTTGGCGCTTCAGTTGTCTCTGTTCCATTGTAACACAAGAGAGAACTGTGGTAGTACACCATTATTGTTTTTGAAAATTTGTATATATCTTTATTTTATATTTTTTGGGTCACGAAAAAAATCACAATCATAAATGGGGTGGTGAATAAAAAAAGTTTAAGAAGCCCTGCTCTATAGCAATTACTATTTTTCCTTTTATGGATATCTTCCATAACTTGTATAATTGAATATTCCATAACTCTATGTATTAAATGTTTAATTTGTTGATCATTATTTTTGAGTTGATCAAAAACTAATTCTATCGAAAAACCATATGAATTAAAAATTTTCGACAATTGTATTATCCAATTACGTTTTATATCTTTATCTCTTGATTTATTATATAATGAATACAGTAATTTCGTTGTCAAATCTTCAGAGATTATCATTTTTTGTAACCATTTTATATATCTTTTAATCAATATTGTATTTAGTAATTAATTAAATATAATCATGGAAAAGTAGCCCAACGTGATCCAGTGGTTGTTTGGCTTCATAATAAAAATTTATCAAGTTTTATGAGGTTTATGTATATGATTATTCAAGGAAATTTAATTTACAATTTTAGGTATTATAAACAAGAAAATAAAAATAGATTTTCAACTCATATATTAATATTTTTACAAATTGATCAAAATTTTAATAGTAAATTATTTAGATTTATATGATTAATTTACAAAATAATTACCTTCAGATAATTTTTTGTCGTCAACTTTAAGATCAGATAATTCAGCAGCTGTCTAAATTTAAACATAAAATGTAAAATTTAGTTTGTTTAAATTTCATATGTTTGAAAATTTATATTAAAAAAGCATATTGTATAATTAAATTATAATTACTACATAAAAGAAAAATTATATTTTTAATATATTTTTTCATTTTAAATAATATTTTAAATACTACATTTATTATGCTAAAAAATTTAATTATATCTGAATAAAATTTTTAAAATATAATTTTAAGAGATTTGAATACACACATTCATATTCATTTACATTTAAATGCAATTAGGAATGAAATTATTAATGAGACTTTGAATCTAAAAGTAAACAATATAATATTTAGATTCTTAATCATTCAATTCAATGCAAGTGTGAAACAGCTTTAGTTTTCTGTCACATAGGAAAAACGTACCCTCTGCAGTTAGAGGGGATTAGAAAATAAAAGGGACATGAATCCAAGTCTCAGCGGACCCACCTCCTGAAGAGCATGGACCAAAGCTCTGTCAGTCAACCCTCTCATCTCGTCACTCTCATCAATCTCCTTTGAGAATAGTCTCCGGAGAAACTCCCTAACTACTATACTGAAGCAAAATAATATAAATAAATAATGCCTTTTTAACGATCCAGCAAAAACATTTAATTCTCTAAGAACGTTTTCGACCGATTTTAGCGGCCTTCATCAGTTATTCCAATATTAAAGAGAACAAAGTATTCGAACCTATGTAATACAAAATTAAATAAAATTAAACTGTGTTGCGCAGAATAACGAAAAAAAAAACCACTTGTAGGTTATTCATATTACAAAAACAAAATAAAAAAGTAAACAAATAAATTTAAATAAATAATAGTGCCGTCAACATGGATACATATATCAACTTGTGTTATTATAAAATGACTTCCAAGCAGTGGCTAATCCCTCTGCATCTCTGTGATTAATACAATCCATGGCTATATGCGCTTTATGTATTTCTATTTTCTCAAGATGCCTCACTGCCTTCAGGCACAAACCCACAAACCCTGAGTTCAGTAGTTTTAGCCACTTGTGTTATTTTATTTTTTATCAGTTTAATAGTTAACAATCACTTCCAAGGCATTGTTGTCATAATACAATTAATATTTAATTTAAAATATTCTTTAATTTTGTTGTTTAATAAAAAAGCAAATAATTTTAATTGAATAACTTGGATATGCTTCCAAAAAGAACCATTTAATGTGGAAAGTAACTGTGCTGCAAAATCATTTTGAAACCTTCAGAATTTTTTACATTTAGCTTTAACTTCAACATATTAAATTTTTTTGTTATGGCTATGAATAATAAAAATACTACCCATACTGATATTAAGGAATTGATTGATTAAATTTTAATTGTGCTAAAACTTAATTCATTGTAGATTTAATTTAAAACAAATGAAATCCATTTGTATTAAATGGGTAAAACTTTAAATAATGTAATGAATGTACAGTAGAGCGTCGTTTATCCAAATCAATTGGGGACTGGGGTTGTTCAGATAACTTATTTTTCGGATAACCAATTATGTATGAAAAAATATATTAATTTATCCCATCTTGACATTTTTCTCCATTGCGTGTCGCTTCGCGTTGAATTTTCGTCAATGTTAAGCCTAATGAAGACTATTGTATCATTAAAAATTATTTTTTTATTTTGTACAAACAAAATAAATATATTGAAAAATATAAAAACAATAAAAAATTATACTTCAGAAGTTAATTTAGTATCAAAAACGTAAAATATTTGAGTAGCCGAAGACATAGCCAAAGATTACAGTGCCACAGCACTGGCGAAAATTTAAATTTGTCGACTGGAATTCCTTCGGATAACCGACCTTTGGATAAACACACACTACTGTATAATCATAGATTATATATTCAAAAGTTGGGGTTATTTTAATTAGTTTGAATTACTGTGAACTGCAAGAGCAATATTTAAGAAATTTAAGAAAATCAGTTTAATTTATGCAGTCAGTTATTATGATCCATTAGCATAAAGAAACTGTCAACTGTTTCAGTGACTATATCAGACAATACTCAAAGTAAAAAAGTCGATTTAACTTTCTAACCCAACTATTTGAATACATCATAGTAATAATTCATATATCATATTATAAAAGAGATGGATTTCAGGCCAAATATTCTGCAATAATTTTTGCTTTTAATTATTATCAATTTTGTTATGGCCTTATAATGAAAAGGCACAGTATATTTTATTTAAATAAAATAATAATAATCACTATATTTTTTCTTATAACATAAATATAAATTTGAAATTCATCAATATAAAAATTTGAAGATATACAGTACTCAAATATATACAGTATTAAAGATATACAGTATTCTCAAATGCTCAATATAATTAATAATAATCAATTTTTAATTATAAAACAATTTTTATTTTAAAGTTGCCAATTGTAAAAATGGTTAGATTAAAAATAAAACTTCATAAAATTAAAGTATTGTTGTAAGTATAAATTAAAATAGATTTTTCATTGATTTCCTTCAAAAACAGACAGAAAGAAAAGTGTTACTAATGAATTGAGGTAAATAAATCATATGGTTATTTATATTACAGCCATCATTTAGTACAAATTAAAATGTATCTAATAAAATCAATAATAGAGAAAAAAGTAATCTTAGTTCTTTGATGATAATACAGTATATATTAATTTTAAAAAATATTTGAGAAATAAATTTAATGAATGACTTCTTAATTAAGGCCAAACAGTATAATTTCATTTACACTGTCAATAATAATAAAATAATTAATAAATAACGTTTTTCACAAAAATTATCATGTTAAATTCCAATAAGTTGTGCATTTATAAAATTAATTTTAAAAAATTTATTTTTTATACCCTATTTAAGAGTGTTCTAGCAAGATCCTTTTCATTTCTGTGATAAGCAACTATTCCTTGTAGCAAATGCAATCTAGTAAAAAGAGCAGCTTCATTTCCAGTAATTCCCTAAAAAAAAACTAACTTTTAAAAAATAAAAGAAAAAAAAAATAAAGTTTCATAAAATAAAATAATTTTCAATTTTATCGAAAATAATAAAAATTATTATTATGACAAATTAATTAAAAACAAAATTAATATAATAGAATTTTATATATTAAAATACTTATGGAATGATTTAATGACAGCTGCTTTTACACAATATGATTGCAATGAAATATAATTTTCATCATAGTCATTCTATGAAGTTTTCAAAACTCCATAGAAATATTGCATGTGAAGTTTTGAATGCAGTATGACCAAATATTCCCTACATTTATATATATATTTATATGCAAATATACGTAAAGCAGTTTTCATTAATATTAAGCCATATCAGAATCTCCAACTAAAGTTATCAAAAAAATAAAAATAAAATAAAATGAATTAAAGAATACATAGATCATCCATGCAAAATGTCCAGGTAGCTTTCTGGCAATATATAACTAATTATTAATAAAGTTACACTTGATATACAAACTTCTTTATTAATTGCAATAAAAAGTTTACATACTTCAGATAAAATTATTATTGCAAATTTTTAAACACAAAATTTACAGGAAGATAATTGTTTAATTATTAATTTAAACTGAAATATAAGCTTATTACCTTTTTCAAAATTACTAATCTTTCCAAATTTTCACCATAACTGCGATGAAAACATTCTTCACACTTTTTTAATCTTGACACTATAATTAAAAAATAAAAATTTAATAATAGATAAATATGTAAATAAACCTATGTATTATATTTATACATATATACACGGCCGGATTTACACATTTTGGCCCTAGGCCAAAGTACATAATTCTATGCCCCTAACCCCTCAAACAGTTTATATATAATTAAATCTTAATAGCTATATGTAATTTGCTATAAATTTCATAGACTTATCACACCACAGTTTTCAATTGGAAAGCTCACTGAGATTTTATTAAACCAATATGTACATTTTGGGCAATATACCCTTCCTCAGTTGGTTATAATTCAAGTATTAGAGAGGTTGCAGCTGATGTTTTCATCACAAAAAACATGTACATTGGACATTCAGCACCACCTTTCTGTAAGCCTAGAAGTTTGATAATGGTGTTTGGAACGTCAAGCATGATTCCATGCTGATATATTTTTTTGATATCGTCGATCAAGGTCAAACTGGGGAGAATTTTACCTACTCTAATCATTTTGTTAACATCTGAGTTGCTATAATATCTCCAGAGTAAGATGACGAGATTTTCCTGCCAAATAATTTGTTTAATTTCTAAGTTGATAGGAGTCAACCCTGACATTACCAAAAGAGCATTAGTGGGTGCGGTCCTATAAGCTTTATAAATGCGGAGAGCTGCAATCCTTTGAACAAATAACAGTTTTTTACAGTTATAGACTTTGGCGGCCACAAGGCCCCGACCTATACGGCATAGAGGAGTGCTGGCTGAATTGAACCTTTGTAAATAAGCTTAGTAGCTTCCAAGATGGGTGACGATGTGAGTGCCGCTTTTGTAGTTTACTCAGACTTAGGCCGCAAGCTTCACAATGTTTGCTTCCATCTAGATACACACTGCTCAATAACACAGGTTGAAATGTTAGCTATTTATATGAGCGTAATTCACATTAGGTGGAGGAAGGACAAAAGACATTACTTACACTATCGCATTTATTCTGACAGTAGGGTAGCTTTACACAGGGTTGTGAAGTCTGATAGCAGCTTAAAACTCATCCATCTCATACACATTCTCAGACACTTAGATGACAACATTAGAACAGATTTGCAACGAGTCCCGGGTCATGTAGGGGTTCTTGGCAATGAGACCACTCACCATCTTGCCAAACAAGCTGCAAAGTCTTCAGTCACTAGTACTTTCAGTTACATTCCTACCTCGTACATCAACAATCATGTCAAGAAGCAAGACATTCTCTGGCAAGACAGCTGGGAACATGACACCACTGGTAGGCTCACCTACGCTTTTGTCCCCAAGGTTGACACTACTGCGACTCTTTGCTACTTTTACCCTAGTTACACCCTCACTCAGTACTTACAGGACACAGCAACTTTAAGCAATATTTGCATAGATTTAACCTTGCGGACAATCCACAATGTGATTGTGGTATTCAGGAGGACCAAACACCACTTTACTTAGTTTTTTGCTGCAATAGGTATTTTGAGTTTTTTAAACTTCGTTGGGGCTCTTATATGGCTTCTTTAAATTTTGTCCACAGAGCCTAAGAGCATATCTTCAAACTTAAAAATGAGCTAATTTGTGAAGCATGATGGCGATCATATTAAAGAAGATATTGTTTTTTGAAGTAAGAAGAGAATGCTCATAATCCTTGCTCATATGTCTAAAATTCGAGAGCCAAGCAAAGGTCCGTTCAATGATCCAACGTTTGGGGATAACCTGAAATCCTGTATTAACTACTTTCTTGGCGATTGTCAATAAGCATTCTGTTTCCAATAAACAGCGGTTTTGTAATTTATCTATGTATCCCTGGTCAGCAAAAAACTTGCATAGAGTTGGAGCTTTGCATTTAGCTTGAGTAAAAAGATTTAGAGCACCATCACGATCTTGAATGCTTGCACTGTGCACTTCAGCAGTGATTATAAGCTAGGTATAATCACATTAGAGGCAGTTTAATGAAAGCTGCTATTCTTGAAGGGTACAACTGGCTTTGCAACCAACACCAACTCATTCACTTACTGTACACGCGTGAATGAGTTGGTGTGGATTCCATCATGTTCCATCATCTACTTGCATTCATATCTCTTAATGGAGCTCTTGAGAGCACTCACTCCAGGGGCATGGATGGCAATTAGCTTTCCCTTGCTTTGTTTTAACTGTCAGTATATAGCTGCTTTCAACTTTGTATTTTAATTCTTATTTTCTGTCTTCTTTTCAGTTTAAATTCGGTTAGTTTAAGTTAGTCCTAGTCATAAGTTAAATTAGGGACTCTTAGCTTGGTTTCCGGTTAAGTTAAATTAGATTAAGGTTGTTAGCTTCAGTCGTCTGGTTAGGTTCGTCTTAGGTTATGGTAGGCTAGATAGTTAATGAGTAAGTTAATGTTTAAAACAAATTTAAATAAATAAATAAATAAATAAAACTTGGGGTCTTGCTTGTTTGTCTTCTGTTGGTCCATTCATCTTGTCTAGTTTGTCATTGTGTTCGTTTGTTTTTTGTGCTGGCACTTTTTTTGTTTTGGCACTAACTTCTACACTTAGCTATTTGTGGCAGCACTCAATTAGTGATGTTCGCTACACTCAGGTGGTTTTCTTTCAGACCCTTTGGGGGACTACGCCTTGCAGCCTAAAAACTGCATGCCAATATCAAACATAGAGGGTACAGTAGTCATATGTATGCCATTCAGAGGGATCCTATCTTTCTCTACTGTCTATCTCCTCTCAGACCTTCTTCCCCTTTTCCCTTCCCTTTTTTCCTCTGGCTAAACACCATGTATATATGCTGATGCACAATGAACCATTCGATGCACTAGAAGCCTGTGAGCCTCATTAATCATGCTTTTCTGCTTGTACTGTATTAAATAAAATCTAACACTAGTTGATAATAATGAGATAACTCAAAAATGGATCTGCAGAAGATTGCCAACCACTGTTATTGAATAAAAACTTTTCTGAAATTAGTACTTTCTGAAGTCAATTTTTATTGATGCTCTATTATATTTGTATTTCAAAAATATCATGTGAATTGATATTAGTTAAAACTGTTGGTACTGAAAACCTGTGTTATTTTATATTTGTCATTTTTATTTCTAAAAAGAATATTGAAAGTAAATATAATAAGATTGATATAGTAAAATATATTGCCCATTCACATGTGCATGTTTTCAATATTTATAGAATCTATTTTTCAATATTATGGACTCTCTCAAAATGAAATATAATTTTCTTAACATATTTAAAAACCATTTAAAAATATTTTTATCTATTAAATATTTTCTTTGGATATGGTAAAATCATGAAATTTTAAGATTTACAACTATTAGAAACTTTATGAAGGCTAAGTTTTTATATATCAAGTATGCCATAAAATTTGAATTAATGTAGAAATTTCTGAATTAATTCAGTTAGTTATTTTATGATAAAAACAAAATAAATGAGCTTTGTTAAGTTTTTAATAATGTTCTAGAAAAATAAAAATGTAAGAACATTAACTCATAAAACAGCAAGGTTAAAAATATTCAATACTGGTTTCAATAAATAAATGTTTTTATTAATAATTTAATTAAATAATAATTTTAACATTATTAAACAATTACCTGCATCTGGAAGCTGATTAACACTGTTCAAACAAAGATAACACCATGCAATATCTAAACACAGGAGGGCATAATTGTCAACTGCATTCAAAATTTCTGATGTACATTGTCTATATAAAAAATTAAAGTAATTTATCAATAATTTTAATACTGTTAATTTTAAAATACTGAGTTTTGCTGAATGTCTGAAGAAGAGAGAGGGTTACAGAAACATGTCCAAGATCATTATGAAGATGTATAGTAGATAATTCACTCATAATACCTAAATTATTATTATTTAAAATGTAAGATGTTTGTTGAACTTTAAATCAAAAAATTAAAATACTAGTAATTAACCATTTACANTATATATAAAAACTGAAATTCTAAAGAGGAAAATTTATAAAATAAAACAGTCATTTCAATCCTTTGAACAGTCCTTTATTATTATTAGAAGAGATAATTAAATTATACTATATGCAATTCAAACTGTTCTAATTTATATTTACTCTTCAGTAGTACAAGAAAAAAAGGCACAATATAAACTTACTTTACTTGATTTTACAAACCATGAGAGAAAAAACATATAACTTTGTCATATGTTGACATATATTTTATCATAATATCCCACAAAAATTTGCATACCAACATTTACATTCAGTTTATTTTTAGTACTGATCATTAATAAATGTTCTTTAAATTTTCTCTTATAAATATTCTTTTTCCTATTTACTATTCTAATTTTAGAAATATCAATGTTACAATTAGTTTCTTTTATATGTTTAGGCTAGTAGTGATATGGTAATTAGGATAATACACTTTGATATTTTCTATTAAATTAAATCATTTGCTTATAAACACCACATTTGCATATCCCTAACTCTTTTATGTTGGGCAGTGAAGCATTACCTGTAATATTTGACAGGCTATTCCAGGATCCCACTTGATACAGTAGAATCTTGTTTTAATGGATCATGAAACAATGGATTTCTCAGAATAACAATTTTTCCACCAAGTCCTGCAAAATCAATGTAGCTTTACCTTCTTTTAGTTGATAGTTTGTAAATAATAAATTTTTTCCTAGCCTCATGTATTGTAAACTTCGTGTTTTTTCATCACATTTAGGTTCTCTATTATATTTGGGTGTTTCCAGGAATCTGTAGAGTTTGATGATGCACTTGTTACAACTCTAATGTGTACAGTACAATTAAAGAATTGTATATATAGAGTCGGCAGGCTGATACAATTAAGGAGAAGCCACCTAGTAAACATTCTGACACTGCTCCAAGTGTAGTGCTGAAATTTAGTGAGGCTGTTCAGTCTTTCCAAGTCATGAAGACTTTCCTGATGAGTTTCAGCAAAAATGAATAGGTTGTACATAATGTGGTGGTAGTATGGCATAATAACAATCTTGTAACATATGTGTATCTATAGAATAAAGAAGAGAAATCTCAAGAGATCGATTTCTAGTACAGGTATTTCTTATATATAGGGAATTAAAAAATGGAAATTTTTTAATAATAAATATTTTCCTGGATGTATGGAAAATCTGTTGTTTATGATATAATGAATTCTTGGAACAACAGATGATTTTCAGCAACCCAAGCAATCCACTGAAACTAGATTCTACTGTATTTCGGAATGCACTAAAAGGTAACAATATGTAGTTTTTTTTGTGAGCTACAACTTTATGATTGACAATTTGGTCCTATTTTCATTAGGAGTTAATATTACAACAGCCTTCTTTAATAGAAAACCTAGAGAGAGTGAAAATTTGCACCATTGTTTAGTGCATGTCCAACATAATGTATATTGACAAAACTTCTACAGTGATTAATCTATTAGTTTTTGGTTGGGGAGACACTTATTATCACCCTGCATATTAATGATTTTTACAATAAATAAATAATTTTACTTATCTGTAAAATTCAGGAAGTAAGTGAATATCAGATATGACATGCTTAGACATTGAAAGTTTAATATATAGATTTTTTGCAATAATAGTATCAAATAATAACCAAAGATATTTTTCATTTTAAAAAATATTTAAATTTTTTGAAAACACTTGTGTTTGCTACACTTATTTTTATATTTGAGATTATAATCTCAAGTATAAAAGAAATACCACTAAATAAAGTTTAACAATATTGAATTTAAATACTATAAAGAAAATTATGGATTTAAACTAAAATTTATAACTACAGTAGAGCGTCGATTTTCCGAATCAATTGGGGACTGGGGTTGTCCGGATAACTGATTTACGTACGAAATAATAGNTGGAAATGAAAGTATTTAAATGGGTCTTACTATGAGAAACCCATCTTTAGTCAGAGAAGATTGAGGAAAACATTTTCTTGGAACTAAAATATAAATGACAGCAAACAAATCTGACAAAGTACCATGCATTAAAAGTTTGTTATCATTAAAAGATCTAAGAATCTCAACAAAGCAATAGGTCCTGTCAATGTATCAATAAATTGGTTCAAAATGTTAAATATTTCACAGATGAACACATATCTCTTAAAACCATTTTAAAAATTGTCAAATTTTTGTTTATGCCTCCCTAGATGTAATGCCCCAATGGGACAAGTATTTTCATTAGTGAACAATTTGTGGACTGGTGTAAAACCCAATTAAAAATCAAAACATTGGAAACATGCATTTACTACTGTGATCAAAAAGTTTTGGGAATGGTTTATTTAAACAATGGGTGTACTGTACAAGAGGACACTGTCATCATTTTTTTGTCATTTGGTGTGATTTCCATTGATATCTAGCAGCAATCCATACATCATCATCTGTTTTTGTTTACAAATAAGCACTTGTGTTGTGTGTAAAGAATTTTTTCACTGGCAATTTCAAAATGTCAAGTATAATTAATCAAAGAATGTGCATTAAATTTTGTTTTTGCAATGGAATTATTGCTAAAAAGAAATGTTTCAAAAAGTCTCTGGTAATGATAGTCTATCAAAAACAAGAGTTTTTGGGTGGTATAAGATGTTCAAGGAAGGCAGAGAACATGTTGGAGATGAACCACACCCTAGTAGACCATCTATTTCAACTGATGAACAATCTGTCACTCAAATCTAGTGCTCAATGATCATCATTTAACAATTAGGGACAAAAAAATAACACACATAAATTGGAACTATATAATCAACTAACTGACACCTAAATGCAAATTCCAGCACATAATAAACAAAGAAATTTTAATGTTCAAACATTTTCAGCCATCCTTCACGAATGAATGCACAAAAAAAACATGAAAACAGTTCCATCCTTTAAAAATTTCTAACTTTCGAACCTCGCTGAATTCTGATTTTTAAACATTTAAACAATGTTCAATACAGAAATTGTTACGTTTACATCACATATATTAAATAAACAATTATTTTTTAAAATAAAGCTATAAATAAAATTATATTTTGTGGCAGCCTAAAAGTTAAACATTTAAACGATGTATCAAACATCTCTGATCAATATTGATTAAGGAAAAGAACATGTTAATCACTAGTACAAGATTAAAAGATGTATTTTTTTCCTTGAACGTTCAAGGAAAAAAATACATCCAGAGAAGGAATTTACTTAGAAAATGTTGACTGAGGAGGGACAAAAACAGAGCCCGAAACGTGTGTAGAAACGCGTCTCAACAAAAAGCTGGAATAAATGAATGAGTTATGCCATGTGTTGATTACTGTGCTACATTGCAGTTTTTAAACAGATCAACAAAAGCTGGAATAAATGAATGAGTTATGCCATGTGTTGATTACTGTGCTTCATTGCAGTTTTTTAAACAGATGTAAAGATACAACACAGTTTCGAAATACGGAAAAAAATTTTAATTGTTATTTTAAGTATAGTTACAATACCTTTCTTTCTTCAAAAGGAAGATTTAATACTCTTCCACTTTGATCTGCTACTTGGAGGTATTGATCATTATCAGGATTAGCTAATTTTAATGAAAATTAAAACATTAAATTATTTTTTGTTAATAGTGGCATCAAGTTATTACTAATTAATAATAACTACAAAATATATTTCACAAAATAGCTATAAAATTTAACAAACCAGCATCAATAATAGATAAAAATTCTGCATCATCTTTTGTTCTTTGTAATAAAGCTGCTTCTTGATCATTTTGAATTAATTGTTCAATGTTATTTTCCACTAATAATGCCATAACTTGACTGTTTGGCTATAAATTTAACATAAAAATTACTATCTGTTATAAATCTGTCATTCTAAACATTATAATAAAATTGATTATATTACATTTTTTAATTTTAAATTAACTTAAATGTTATTTTTATATTTTCTAAAGTTTAAGTGCTTTAATTTTTTTATTTATTACACTGAAAAAGTATATACTTGAAATAAAATTACTAAGGATAACTGAATAAAAAATTTGAGTGTATTATTTTCTTCATAACATACAATCACAAAAAATAGAACAATTTATGAACTAAATCTGAATTTTAAAATTGACTACTATTTTGTAATTTATACAACAGCTTCAGATTGATTTGTAATATCAGATGACCAAATAAATAATGTCTTTTTGAAATGTGAATAAAAATGCTTGTATTTTTTGTTTAAAATAATTTTATTCATCAAAATATTCACATTCACATTCAACTACACTTTCCCAATGGGGGTGGTTGGAAAACACCAGTTTTAGCATTAAAAATTAAATTACTTCCTCTTTTATAGCTCTCATTTTTATAGCACGATGATTTGTACATTGTTTTCCAAGCATATGATTATCCAAAGACAAAAAAAAATGTGGTAATCTGATGGAGATAAGTCAGAAGAATAGGAAAGATGAGGTAAAAGCTCTATCCCAATTGCATTATTTCTTATAATTTCTGCAACATGTAGGCAAGCATTATCTTGTAAAAACAAAACCCCTTGACAATTTGCCAAAGATAACTGTTTTTGCCTTAATTTGTCATGTACTCTTTGTAGCTGCTCACTGTACAAATCTGCTTTGAAGGTTTAAGTAATGTTCAAGTACTCGTGATAAACAAAATCCTTTGAAGTCCACAAAACACAAAGAAAGATTTTTCAGAAATCATTCAAATCATTTATAACAAGTAAAATGGGAAAGCCATATTTGGGACAAGACTATGTCTCGGAGACTCACTACTAAGTGGAATCACTTTCACGCTCTTGGCGAGTCTTGTTCTCATTCTCTAATCTTATTTGGTATCGCTGGTTTTGCACACGATCATTCAAACTTTGCCAGCCTTTGCCACAACCACGAGGTCATACATGACGAATTTTCAGTGAAATTAACCTATCCAATTTCAAAATTTCTCTCCGTTGTGTGTCGCCCTGGGTTGAATTTTTGTTGATGTCTAACGAAAATTTCCCATTTTTGAAAAAAGTAATCCTGGCTATTGTATCATCCAAAATTATTTTTTAATTTTGCACAAACAAAATATATATATATATATATATCTATACATATATATATATATATAGGCTATTACTCATACCATGAAACCAACATACATAAGGATTATATAATACTAACAGAATGGTTGTACTTGCAACAAAGATGCCATGTATAGTTTGTAATATTTCTATTATGTGTGATTTTTACCACAGATGTGGCAGCATTTTTCTTTATCAGGTATTCTTTGTGTATCCACTACAGATCAAGTTACAACTGTTCTATTGTTCTTTTTAGTTTGTCTGTCAAATTGTGTACAAAAAGGCATAGATTAAGATGCCCAGAAATATTATGTAATCGAGTCAATAGCCAGTTTATAGTTAGAGTTTAGCTAATTGAATTTATATATAAAGTTAATTAACTATATATATATATATATATAATCTAGTTGGTATTCCATTATTTTTATGCACACATTTACAACAAATACAATGTAAAAATAAAATCTTTGTACAACCAAAAAATTATTTAAATACATAATTTTCAGTGAAACTAACACCTATATGTGATTTCCAGCAAATAACTGTAATGTTCTAATGTTTTTGATCAAAATATGGAGGTCCTCATCAGGAAATAAAACAAAAAACAAAAAATTCTATCATTCAATGGAGAATATAGTTACATTTAAAATAGATTCCAAATATTCAAAATAATGTTCGATAGATGTTNCCCACGGGGGAAGTGTTATACTTTTATAATAGATACATTTTGAGCCACAACAACGCATAGTGGTGTCTGCTAGTATATATATAAAAAAATAAATTGTTTATATATATATATATATATATATAAATGTAAAAAGAAAACAAATTATATTCTGATGCTGAAACAAGATATCTTGGGCCAACCAGTCAAGGTCAGCACGTCGTGACCAGAGATATGTCGGGAATAACACGGGAGTAAATAGGTTTTTTCAAAGATTCGTTTGTCAAAATTCAATTTAGCAACATTCACTTTTTGAACTTCCCAATGCACGCATTTGTCAAAATTCAATTTCACGTTTTCATTTCCAACTTCCCAATGAGCAATGCATGTGCAAATCTCACACTACTGCCTGTTTGTAGAGAGTGTTGCCATTTATTTTTATGTATTTTATTTAACATGTATTTTATTTAGACTCAGGTCTTGGTCTCCTGAGTACCTACAAGTCTGGTTTTTTTATGCGCACATGATTTGGGCACTTAATACTCTGTGCCAAATTGCAATTCCTGACATGTACTCCTTCATACCTCTAAGCTGATAAGCCAACTGGCAGTATGATTTTATAAACAAGACATAGTCTTGTCAAAAATGGTATTGTCAAACTGCCATCCTCTTGAGAAAATGTAATTGAATGTAAAGATGAATATTATGATGAATAAAGTCAATTTAAACAAAAAATACAAGCATTTTTATTATATTTCAAAAATGACATTATTTATTAGGTTACCTGATATTAATCCTGAAGCTGTTGTATACATTACAAAGTATCAGAATAATATCTGAATATATTTGATTATCAGATAGTATTTTAATGCTATGTGTAGTATTTTAACATATATAAATAGAACTTATCAGGTTACATTTAATTGTATGATACTTAAATAGAACTTATAAATGTTGTTAGAACCATAAGAAATATAATAGAATGATTTTAATTTTTGATAGATCTATATTTGCTTACTGATCAAATCTATTATTTCAAAAATTTCAAAATGATTTAAAGCCTAACAAATAGATAAAATATGGAAAATGAAATACAGATACCTTCATAAAACACAGTTTGAAAATTGGAGATATCTCCCATATAACATGACTTCCTGTTTCAATCTAACACAGTTTTTGAAATTATCCATACAAAATTTCACAATTTTTAAGTGTAAACTTCATTGTTCAATATTTTTTTTATTCAAATAAGCATGTGTGTTGTCTCAAATTCTCCCAAGAGTTTTGGAATATTGAAATTTTCAAATTATTTTGTGCTTTTTGTCAAGTTTATTTTAATGAAAACCAATAGGACAAGAAAGAAAAACAATTGCACTAACTTTCCTATCAACTGGGTATCATTGTTCTTGCTTTCAGAGTTTAGCCCTTAAAACTGTCACTATGTTTTCTTTTTATAGATTAATCTTTGCATTTAGTAAAGTTTATTTAAACAATTTTAGGTAAATGTTATTAAACTTTTTTTAACTGTAGGTATTAATTACTCATAAATGATTACTTCATTTGTAAAAAATGACAAATGAAATACAGTGTTATCTTGGTACTCGAACAATTTGGTATTCAAACACAAATTCTGGAAAAAAAATTCGCTTGGTACTCAACTGAACAAAAGTAACATGCTAGAACAAATTTTCAAATAATAACATATTTTTATTTTGTCATCCATAAAAACTTTTTATGATAAAAACAAAGAATATAAAAATGTTGCTAATACTTCTGATTAATATCAACAAAAAAGTTGAGATGATGATGATACTTTGTAAAAAGAAAACACTCTCATTTAATTAAAATTAATATTAACACGTAATATAGTACTTTTATTGTGATTGTTAATTATTGATTGGAAATAAATTATTAATTGCTTTAAATTAATAAACATATTTCTCTTAGTAATGAAAAAGAATAGTCTGCTTTTGCTAACTTCTGGAACATAACCCTTTATTTTTCATTAATCCTTTGTTTTATATAGCATGGATTCGCATAACATGGCACTTTTTTGGAACGTAACTACTGTGTTATATGAGGATTACCTGTAAATATATATTTTTGTTAAATATATATTTTTAAACTTTTTTAGCAAAGGAATCCACTTTTTGTAAAATATTTTCTAATACAATGGCAAAAATGTTTAAATAATTTATATAGTATAAAAAACATATATAATTAATTCAAGTTAAAAAGTAAACAATGTAAATTATTACCTTTAAATTTTGTTCTGACAAAGCTTTATCTTCCTTTATCACTCTCCCAACAGCAATTAGCTTTAAACATGATACATTTACATTCATATTTTTAGCAATTAATTCTTTTAATTGCTGTCCAGTATTAGATAATGGAATCTCTATCACTGAATTTTGAAAATGAGAATTCTGAAATAAAATAAAATTAATTTATCTTTATTCATTAAGTGAACCTTAAAAAAAAACAAAATATTCTTTAATAAACTGTAATAATTACATTCATAAATACAATAAAATAATAATTATTATTCCATCTTAATAAATATTTTTTCTATTTCAATTTGTTAATGAACTGTTAAAGCCAAATAAACATCTATAACATATTTAATAAACATATATAAACATCTCTAAGTCCGATAATTTTATTAATGTATATATACACCATGCCAGAGTAAATCAATAATCAGCTAAGTTGCCATAGTTGGTGATTATAGTCCATGGGTTCTAAGTTATCCCCATTCCGATGCCATGAGTAACTAGTGTGATTATATCTAAATTAAATCTATGTCTGGAATCACAAGAAGGTCTGAGTAGTGTAACTGGAAACTCATCAGAATGGTAAGCAGCAGTTAAGGGTTTGAGTGTTACTCTGGACCAAATCTTTTCTTCCGGAATTTTCTAAATTATTTAATAAATATTAAATTTAATAAGAGAGAGCACCTAACACCTACATTTAGGTCAAATTATTTAGTATTTAATTATTAATAATAATGGTAATATAGCCCAATTTAATCTGGCAACTTTTTGGCTTTAATATAATTATCAGGCTTAAAGAAATTTATATACTGTACGTTAATGAACAATTATTTTATAAAACAAAATTCTAATATCAAATAAGCATTTATGCATATATCATAAAAAAAATAAAGTTTAATCTGATTAATTACAACTTAAATTAATTTAAATTATTGAATAATTTAAAATCTGCTATTATTTAAAACAAAAGAAAAACCAAATTACTATACTGTACAGAGAAAATTAAACAATGCTTTAATGGCGTTAAAAATTTTTTAAATAAACAAAAACATTTGAGCATTATTAAATCAAATAATTCATGTTCAGGAATGTTCCAATAGCAAATTTGTTACCAGGGGCAAATGTGTTCTATATATAAATGAAAAAGACAAAGATATTGCTAACCTTGAAGTTTACAAGCATTTAACTTATAAAATAAGTTAAGATTAGGTTAACTTAATATAATAGGCTAAAATAAAATACATGATAACATTAAGAATTTTATATCATCTTCAACCTAACATAACATTCAATATAATATTTTATTTCAAATAATTTTTGCTTTAATATTTTATGAGTTTTATGTTTGTAAACTCCAAGATTACTACGGCAATGTTTCATTTATGTTTCCAACAGTGTTCATCTTTATAGTAATTATGTAGTATATATAGTAATTATGTAATTATATAATAAATATCTGAAAACTTTTTCTTGTGTATTCTTAAACATTTAATTTTAACTTCATTAAAACACTTTACTGTTGATTTTCTGGTATTATTCCTGTTTATATTCATAGTTAAATCAGTGTTTCACAAATATAGTTTATTTAAATTATCTATATATATAAAAATGATGTATGTGCGTGTGTGTCCTTCATGCATTACCACACTGTTTATCCGATTGCCATGAAACTTTGAGAAGTTGTTTAATACACTTCGTTTCTGGCATAGTATATTTATCCTACGATAGAGTGTATATGAGCATTTCATCGTGAGATCAATGGATTTCAAATTGTGATGACCATTTTCCCCCTTCAAAAAATATCTCTATATATGCATTTGTGAACTGTTATTTACGATATTTATAATAATTTTTGTTTAATCACTTTATTTCAACTTTTTTTTTGCTAATTATGCATTCGCTTGAACTTCATTAAAACCTTAACTGTACCCCGAACAACAACCAAAGTTGTAAGAAGAAATTTGCATATTTTACCAATCTAGGTATCCCCTTTTCCAAATTTTAATATCAACTCAAAATAATTTAAAAAGACAAATTACAATAAAATGGTTTATTATCCAACTATCAGAAATTTCACAACATGCCAAGGAAGAGAGGAAGGAGCAATTAAATAATTAAAATTATAAAGGATTAAAAAATATATATATAAAAATGGTGAATATCGCACTTCTGACAATCGCTGCAAGTGTATGGGCTAAATTTGGAGAATCGTGCTTCTCGCATGGACAACTGTACGTGGCTGGCTCACGCGTCGGAAAACCTTCCGATTTATTCGTGTACGCACCAGACGGAAAAACAAAAAATATTGTGTATCCACAAACACTCCAATAAATAAATAGAATTGAAACAACACTTTGAAATGTTTTCCCAATGAAAATGAATAATAATAATAAGTTTCAATAAAAATGATAAAATGTAAATTGAATTTTATTATAACGAGTTTGCTTAAATTTCCTTTCTTCTGAGATTGCAGCAATGTGCGATGGGTAAGCTAGTATATATAAGGATGTTTGTTTGTTTGTTCACTATGCATGCCTAGGCCATTTGACCATTTGCTACGAAACTCAGCAGTTGTGTTCACATACTTCTAACTTAGAATAATGTCGTACATCCCACCCGAAAATATTGATTGGAATTTTATATATCAATTAATTTCTGTCTAAATTCATTTGCTGGCTTCTTATGTAGCATCATCTATCGGCAAAATTTAAGAAAAAATAAAACTATATATAATTCTTACAAAAAAGGATATAATTTTAAAAAACATATAAAATATTCACTTAATTACTGTGAGAATGATATAGCACAAAATAGATGCACTAGCACATAGCACATAGCTGGTAGCATATAGCACTTGCCTGCATGGAGTGGTGTTTTACCCCTGTACATTATACTTTACCTGTTAGCGATAGAGTCGTGCCAGTTATTTATCTAACTCTGCTTTGGGGAAAATTTTAAAATTAAAATAACATAATTTCTGGTGCAAACTAGAAGTTTGTATATAGTTAATTTGGGTATACTGCTCTTTTGTATCGCATTGCCATAATCAAATAAATCAAACCAATTCTAATCATTTTTCTATAAATGCAATATTTACAAGGAAGTGCTTAACTACCATAAAACCAGGACATGCCACCCCTCCCATTTCATCTTCCCTTTCATCTTCCCCTATTAACTCATAAACCCATTGTCCCAAACTTCTTACTGATACTGCCGAAAGATGTTCTAACATTCAGCCAAATTAATTAATGTATGTGCAATGATTGTAAGGCACAAAGAGCTTGAAGTCTTTTTCTATGCAGATGTTTATTTTTCCTATTTATTATCATGGCAACATTGCTTCATTCAAAATTTCCTGTAGTTGTAGTGTGTGTAAAGTGCATTTTATACATGTTAAGTCTTACTGTCAAATATCCATCTACTATTCTTATACCACAAGTTTCCTTTACTTACAAGGGGACCTTACGATCTTGAAAATTCAGTTCAGGATGAGACTTCGCAGGTTAGTAATATACCTCAAGGGTGTCTACCCAGAAGAATTGTAAAGCGCACTAGCCAGAAGATTCCAAGAAAAAGGACTCTAAAGTTTTAATCGCAGCTCATATACTGGTCGATTTTACACTATGGCAGCGTAGCAAAATGCTGATTCTGCAGCAAACTCACTTGAAACGCGGGTGATCTAGGTTTGATCATAGCCTTGGTTAACTTTTTTTTTTAAATTGTTTTAAAAATTATAACAATTTTTAAATAAAGTTATTGACCTAAAAATATTATCAATTAAATCATAAATAATTTTATTTTATTTATGAAATGACTATTACAGCTAATTAAAATGTGAATTAAAGATAATATTTTAGTTTTAAAAAGTCAAATAATTTCAAATGCATTTTTAATGGAGGTAAATTAAAACTTTTATTACTATTGTCATTAAAAAGTTATTACAAATTTTAAGATATTATAAGCTGTGGAGAGGTTAAAAATATTCGTTGTAAATTTGAGAAACCAGTTTCTACGTGGAAGAGTAGAGTATAGCTATTGCCCTATTGTACATAGGCAGATGGTCATTTCATAAATAAAATAAAATTATTTATGATTTAATTGATAATATTTTTAGATCATTAACTTTATTTAAAAATTGTTATAATTTTTAAAACAATTAAAAAAAAAAGTTAGCCAAGGCTATGATCAAACCTAGATCACCTGCGTTTCAAGCAAGTTCGCTACAGAATCAGCCATTTCGCTGTGCTGCCATAGTGTAAAATCGACCAGTATATAAGCTGCAATTAAAACTTTAGAGTCCTTTTTCTCGGAATCTTCTGGCTAGTGCGCTTTACAATTCTTCTGGGTGGACACCCTTGAGGTATATTACTAACCTGCAAAGTCTCATCCCGAATTGAATTTCCGAGACCGCAAGGTCCCCTTGTTAGATGTTTTTGCTGAGCTTTACTTTTTCAACCTGTTTTTCACCAGTTTTTTTATGTGATCACATAAAAACAATTATTTTCACATTTTTACAGGATTTCTTTATTTAAACAAGCTTTATATGAAATCTTTCAGAAGTTAAGGTTAGCAACTTCACAGTGGGGCCATCACAACCTAACCAACACAAAGCACTTTTCAAATATTAATAGTACACCAGTATTAATTAGTAGTTGTTGACCATCCTCTCTCCTGGAAGGAGAACTACTACTACTTTCAGTTGAATTTATTTTCAATTCCCTTCCACAACAGTCCCTCTTCCTATTGGACCCAATTGTATAGTGGCATTCAAATAGAAAAATTACATAATACAAGATTACTGGCAAGCACAAAATATGATTTAAGTGGTTTTTGAGGGTGCATAGTTTAAATATTTGGTCCATTTTTTGAAAAATTTGATTCGTTGGCAGATTACCATTTAATATTCAACTGTGAATAAAACAATTTGTTAAAGGTAATATTAGAAAAAAATGCTGTCTTCTTGACCAATTAAATTGCTGGCTATATTTCATACATCCGAGTATAGTGATAAACATGACAATGGTAGGCTGAAATAATCAAACTCTTTATATGGTTTTCTTTTTAATGTTTCTTATATTAGAGTATTCGATTTATGTAACAACAAAGGTTATCTTATGTAAGGGTTTATCATACCAAGTGACCAATCTAACACA